AAATTTTGGCTCAGTTTTACATAACTTCATGACATTTAATAAACTGAAAAGAAGTCAATGGCAAGCTGTCACTTCATAGTTTACAGTGTTTTGTTTTGAATACTTTGATGCTATTTGCTGCCAAAAATTTGACGGAGAGATCTTGAGTCTGATTGGGTATATTTAACGGACTGTTTGGTACTCGTACCCTACTGGTGCAGAATAATGGTTTGTTAAATTGTGAAATGCACTTTCTCGATAAAATGTGGCAACTTGATGAAAGATGATCCTCCAAATAGTGAAAACTTATTTATATTCACTTCAGCAAACAGAATAGTTTCTATGGCCCATCCTGAAAACAATATGAAAGGAATATTAGTCTCTTAAATTTAATAATAATGGTAATAACAATCACCTTAATTGTGAGGATTACATGACTTGAATTTGTTATCTAAATAACTTACCAGAATCCTTTTCTTCAAACTCCGATGACTGTGATATAATCTCGTCAGTGAAATGCTTGTAAACAGTAGGTAGATCTACTCCCATATCTATTACTTTGTTGGTTGTATTGAATGACTTGATATCCACGACATCTTTGCTCTGTAACACATATTTTCCAAACGCCTCCATATTCACTTTCAACGCTGTATATACTCGAAGCTTCTCTTCTATAACCTCAAGCACATTTTGTTGGATATTGCGGAAAAAGTCTTGAAAGTTGATATATGCAACTGAATCTGTAACTAACAATTCTGCATCTAAATGCGCTCTTGATAAATCTTACACCATCACTGATTGGCACCGCTGAGTTTGTTCTATGTTGTAATGTTCTTGTGTGGGTGGTCATTCGATTTTTCGGAAGCGTTATGTTACAGCATGGACAAATCATGTTTTCAGGTGAGCTGTCCAGCTTGATTTTCTTAGCTTGATATCGTGTGTGATCTAAGATATAAAAAAAGCTTCAAAACTCTTTAACCTTTTTTTTTATTTTCATTGATTGAGAACTTGTGGGATCAAGTTTCACCAATATTTGTCTGGTGGTCCAGAAAGACATTGTAATATATCACCATTCATTAGAACCAATCCTCTGTTTCAAATTCTGAAAGTAGGGTAAAGGATACATGTATACAAAAACTATACTTTTATCAATGAAAATTTTCCAGAAAAACTGTTTAATTGTCCATGTTTTCTCAGTATAGGCAGAAATGAGTCAGTCAGATCACTAACCACAGATGCGTGGACAGTACCTACTTGATGACATATTGTAATAACATTTTATTCGCAAATTATAACATGATAATAAAATGTTACTTAACTTTTACATTCCTAATTTATTGAATGTTCTCAACTGAAACTATTCTCATCATTCTATTCGTTTATAGTAGCCCTAAGGGTGTACAAGCTAAGTAGTTTTACTTGAAGCTGGGTTACAGTGATTCGTTATTGAAATTTCGACTGCATCGTGATACGTTTCCATAATATAAATAAGCATACTCGGATGAATTAATGGACTGAGTCGCTAACTTCTAAATCGAAACATAATTTTATCAAAAATATTACTCTTTTGATATTGACTCGGCCTTCATGACTTCTAGTTCAACTTTCTTACAAGCATTTAACTTGTCCTGTTTCTAAGTATGTTAGTACGTATGTGTGGGACAAACCTTGGAACTTGATTTTGAATCCATTAGCCTTAACCAATTGAGATGAAATTTTGTAAACGCGTTTGGTTTGCAATACAGCATGAATTAACTTCGGCCAGTTTAAATCCAATATGACAGATATGGTTATCAAATGAAACGTCTAGATAGAAGAAGCACAATAAGCATAGTGACGTCATTCTGAATCCAATATGATGCAATAACCACCCTGAGATGGCGCTTATAATTATCATACTCACCCCTATGATATATGGCGGTCATCGCAAAATGGCGATTTTTAATTTCAATAGTCACCTCCATACTATGGGTATGAAATCAATGGGGTTGATCAGGGAACATATCAAAATTATACAGAAATTACTGAGCTAGTTATTTGACATCATAAATACTAATTACTAGAAAGTAAAAAATAAAAAAAACCTATTAAGTTTCGACAGTAGGATGGAAAAGGGTGTAACCAGCTTTTATTTGAAAGCTTGTGTTGAAGGAGCTTTATTATCGTTCAAATATTTCTGATCGGAAAAAATATTTTCAATTTTTAGTTCACTTTATGACCGGCCTCGTAAAATGTCTTTTACATTTTAATCATTAGCTTCAACGGCTTTGCATTCCTGATCTCTCTACGAGAACCGGCAATAATAAAACCTTAAAATAGTCTCGCTATGAAAACAACCCGAAAATAGAAGGAGCGATGGTGACTGATAGAAATAGCATGCCACACCTCCTGTACAGCTGACAGATATTGGGATAGTGCTAATTGCCGGTATTGGAAATTACAAAAGTATATGAGCAAATCTGATATTCATGGTCATTCAAAAAATAAAAACAATACCTACTTGTAGAGCTTTGCTTTCTCTAACTTTGCCCTAGCGGATTGTCACACTTTGTGGTGTATTAATCGAAACTCCTCTTCTATGGCAAAATTCGGAAGGTTCGGTATCATCTGTTGTGTTGTGTGTTGAAAAAATTTGGACATATGAGTATGGATCATAATAAAGAGGATACGAACTGTCATGTACACCGTAGGTTGAATTGACTACTATTTTCAGCCTCGCTTTTTATGTAAGCGTTATTCAAGTACAGTTTTAATAAGCTTTCGCCGTTTGCACAATTATGACTTTGTGGAACTTGAAGTACCGCTAGATAATAAAGTCTATAGTCAATTCTTGCTTACTTTCTCAAACTGTCAAGAATATAAGCATATAAGCTGCTATATTATGCCAGATGTTCATTCTTTCAAAATTTGCCCTATATGTTGCCTAAAAATGACATTTAAATGCCTTCTTCTACCTGACTGATTTTAAATTTGTATTTTAAATGACCCTGAAGTGACCTTCAAATGCCCTCACAGTAACTTCTGGTTCAGATTCAGCAACCAGAAAGACTTAAATAACATGTAGCTGGGCTCAAATGCTCGGTTTTCTTTGAGAGTGTCTTTGATATAATATTAAAGTGACCTTCAAATCCCCTCAGAGACAACCTAATTCCGAATTTGACTTACAAAGCCTGTTGTAATCGATATCGTATATGTCGTAGAAATTGAATTTTTCTCACCCTTTCAATGTTCCGGATCACCTTTGTGCATTGTGCCCCATTTCTAGAAGTGTTGCCTCAATGTCTAGTCCTACGTTTTCTCTGATCAATACACCGAATGCTGGCACATAATTTGTATAAAATTCTCGCGACTATGCCCGCCACATCGTGGCATGCAGTGGTATCACTTTACGTTTTATTTGAACTTTACAGTTACTATCTCCAACTACTTTAGAATTACATTGAAAAATATAAGAACTGATATACCTTTATACCGAAGGAATGTATTGATAGATGTATCCAAAGATTCGTACAATATTTTTACTTACTCTTCCCTGGTGAAGTTGATATTTATTGCTGCAGCATGTTACCCCTTCTGGTAGTGCCTTATGAGCACATTTGACTTGCCCTACTAAATCGTCCTGATCCTTCTTCGTGGCTAGGAAGCGACTGTGAGATGGAAGAAAGTCAATCAGAATAACAGGTGCATTTTTAAATAATAAAAAAGACGTCTGCACTAACTAAACATTTCAGATGTCAAAATCCAACAAGCCACCATAATTTGCTTTGGTTGGGCTCAAACAAGACCGATGCAGCAGGTCGTGCAGTTAAAGCGTTCACTCTTAACGGCTGACCCAGCTGGTGACGAGCCCTACTTGTTTTGCCCCGCGTCTCGTCACATGCCAGTATCCTGCTGGATCTCTTTCTGACCACGCATTCTGTCCTTTACAGTTCTGCTGTCCTGTCTCCCCAGGTAACTCAGACCACTATGTTGAGAAGGTTAGGTTTCAGCAGAAACTCGCACACGCCGCAAAATTTGCCATCACGGACATGCCGACTGGGAGAGGCTCAGAGACTTCTTCTCTACCTTTTCTTGGAGAAATGTCTGTTTCACTGACGCGGATGCGTCGGCTGTCTCTTCTTCCATAACCGAAATTATCGACGTCGGAATCGAGGAATACATGCCTCATACTGCTGATATAATAGAAGTGCTTGATTGTGTCAGTATTTGTACCATTTACTTGATTTGTTTAATGGGCAGTTCAGAGCCTTAATCCTTAAGCTTATTACATATAGGCAGTCTGGAGACGGTATCACGACACGGTCTATAGATGGTCTACAGACATTCCTTCTCTGTCTTGTCTAGCGTCCATACGATAATGTGAATTTTTTGGTCTCATGTTCGTTTTCGTAATCAAAGACATTGTTTTATGGACTGGGATATGTCTCGGGGTCCCTCAGAATGTTTTATTTATTTTTTGTCGGTTAACAGAGCAATGAAGTTTTTTATGTTTGAATCTTTAATATAATTACACTAGTGAATTATAAATGCCACGTACTTATTTTGTTCTCATATAATAAAGTATTGGCTTTCTGAGGATTTCTGAGCAATTTCCATGTTTTTTTTTCAAGCTGGCCTTGACCAGATTGAACACAATGGATTTAAGGAACAATAATACGATAAATTCTAGAAGTTCCACTGAGGTTGAAACGCATTTTTTTTTTGTTAATTAATAAAACACAATGATAAATGCTATCTAACGGTTGGTCCAAGCAAAACAGTTGTCTAGTGGCGTGCAAATTTAGAACCTAGCTCAATAAAGCAGAGAGTAGGGGCGGGTTAAGAGCGCCAGTGACTTAGGACGGAATAAGCCACAACTCCCCGAGATGTTAGTCGGAACTTGTTTTGCTTGACCACCACACATAAGGAGAATCTAACAGAGATGACGAAATTTAAGTAACAGTACACAGAGAGAGAGAGAGCCAAATAAACACGATATCAAATGGATCACAATATATTGATTAAAAAAGAACAAAACGCACATGTGCTCCACCACTGGAGTGCGAGAAAGGATATTACCAAAAAAAAACTACAGCAAAATAAAATTAGTTGGCGTTTACCATGGTATACGCTTTACATATATGTTTTACGCCTAAACTACACTTATCTGGGCGGAGGTCTTCTCCCAGTTACGGCTAGGCGCAGCCGAGATGTATCCCAGGTTAAAAAGAACAAAAAAAGGGAAGCCAGTAGTGGGCACGTCACTGGGCAGGGGCTGCTTGCCTCGGTCCCAAAAATTATGATGGTAACCAGAAAAAAAACCTAGAGAGAGAAAGACTGTTTAAGAATCTACTCTACTATCTGTCTGACATAAAACTACTCATTAACACGTTCACTGCGAAAGACGCTGATCCGCGTCCGACCGATGTTTAACGAAAGGCGGCGGGCGCGGATCCGCGCTTCTGGCTGATATAAACTCACAAGACTGTGGTGTTGTCAGTTTGTACCGCACTCGCTTTCTGTTTGGTCACCTACATATTGAACATCTTTTTGGACTATTTTACGCGTAGGATCAAGTTTCGTTTATTTTTACATTGCGCAATGGCGGATGATGTGGAAGCAGGTTGTTCACGTCCAAAACGAGTGAAAACGTATTGTAACCGTAATAAAGGGCTTACAGAAAAAGAACTGTATGATATTCTTGCCAATTCGGGGAGTGAAATCGAGAATCTAAGTGACTCAGACAATTATGTTCCCAGTTCAGATGGAAGTGAGCAGTCTGATGGAAATATGTCTGAAACGAGTGATGCTTTTTCCAGCCCACAGAAAAATCTTTAATAGGGTTTCAAGACATGTTTCGTGTTACTGCACGAAAAAAAACGAGATAGAAGAAGAAAATGTATATATGAAATAGTTTTCAATTACACAACGCACATCCAATAGGCTTACGACGCGAATCCGCGCTTCGCTTGTGCAGCGCCTAAGGGTACGAACATAGTGGAGCGACGAGGTTTCAGATTCAGATAGAGGCTAACCGCGCGGTTTGCCGCTATGTGAGTCAAAAACACAGGTTGAAACCTGTCGGGCCATAGTAGCGCGATAAGGCATGCGTCGAGTCTCTAGGAGGTTTCGAGCGACGAGTTTTAAATAGTTGCATTCAATTTTTGTCACGCGTTTTCAAGCGATTTAATAATGGATGTTGTGCAATTAATAAATAGTGTATATCACAGAAGGGCTATATGGGATCAGAGTCATCCAGATCATCGCAACCGATACGTGCTAGATAAGTTATGGGAGGAGGTAGCCAATGAATGCAATAATCAGTCGGGTAAGTAAATAATTGTATTTTATACACATTTCAACAGCTAGAACTTACATCTTGCGGTAAAATTTTAAGCTGTCTCGTAACTGATTGGAAAGAAATTAACATAGTTACAGAAAATGTCGCGAACTCTTTGACCTTCACCCAGTTGCCTTCCTCTAGGTAATTCAAACATCTGATCTCTAGGAACTGCATCAGTTACTAATGTTAAATGTCGTTGAAATCCCTCTCGGTCCAGTATTGTATTATGCAAAATGCATATCGCCTTAATGATATCATCCGCAGTCTTTTCAGTAGTCTCTATAGCTTTGGACAGAAGACGCCACTTCGCGTACATAATTCCAAAGGTGCACTCGATAGTTTTGCGTGCTCTGGACAATCTTTGGTTAAAATTTATATGTTCCAAAGAGCGGTTCCTTCGATTGTATGGTTTTAGCAAATTGGGCATTAGTGGATACGCTTCATCTGCAATAAATACGTAGGGAGCGCGGACATTTGTTCCTGGTAAACTATCTGGATTTGGCACATTTAGTTTGTTTTGGTGTATCCGTTTGTACAAATTGGAACTCTGAAACGTTCCCCCATCGCTCTGTTTGCCGTAACCTCCGACATCTATCACAAGCAATTTGTAATTTGCGTCGCAAACTCCTTGTAGGACGATAGAAAAATAATGCTTATAATTGAAGTACATGGATCCGGAATGTTGTGGTGCTATAACTTTGACGTGTTTGCCGTCAACAGCTCCGATGCAATTGGGGAAGTTCCATACTTTCATGAAGTCTGCACTTACATTTAAAAATGTTGCCGTAGTAGGTTCTGGCATGTGAAGTGGTTGCAGCATGTTCCATAATATTTTAATCATATGTTTTATAATGCTCGCAACAGTACTCCTGCCCATTCGAAAGGAAAATGCCAAGTGTCTAAAGGACGCTCCTGTTGCAAGATATCTGAAAATTTTTGTTTGTTGCAGTTAAGAAAGTTTCTCAGAAGTGGAAAAATCTACGTGATTATTTCAGAAAAGAACTGAAGAAAATACCTCTGCCCCGGTCTGGTGATCCAGGCGAAGAGGCTCTTAAAAAGAGCTCCTGGCCTCATTTCAAAAGTTTATTGTTTCTGAGAGACCAGTTTCTGCCGAGATCCAGTCATAGCAACCTGTTGGATCCCGACAATGACACACAAGTTTCGACACCCTCTACGCAGATGGATGAAAATGATGGTGACTATGACGAAGACGAAATGGACGAAACGCAGGGTGTAGAAACGCAGGAAACAGAACCCGACCACACAGAATCAGTCACTCCAATTCAAAGCACACCAAAAGAACCACGAACTATTCTAAAGAATAGGGCCCGAAAACGGTCAAATCAACTTGACGCTTTTCTTGAGATAGAGAAGAAAAAACTACAATATTTAGATGAGAAACGTGTCGCTGCAGACCGTGGCAGAGCCCTACCAGTCACAGATGACGATAAACTGTTTTTTGATAGCCTTTTGCCCCACGTGGTGAAAATTAGGCCTCATCGAAAACTTCAGTTCCGCAATGAAATTCAAAATTTGGTTCAGAAGTATGCCTATGAAGAGTACTCGAACAATCAGTCCACCATCAATGTCAGTCATTCTGTTAATCATAGCCCGACATATACATCTCAACCACAAACATCGTTTGCACATTCATCCCATTTGTTGCAGGGGTTTAATTACGCAGATCAGTAAACATTATAAGTTATTATAAGTTATCGTTCGTTGTGTTCAGAAGACAGAATATTATTTTGCGTTACCGTTTGTTTGTTTATGAATAATAAAAGTATTATCCTTAATACATAATATTCTCTTACCGAATTGTTACCACCAACATTTCTTCGGTTCCTATAGGCGCTTGATTAAAATTTGTCCATTTCTTGTTGATGCAGGGTGTAACTTGTTCTAATATATACTGAAAGGTGGCAAGTTCCATTCGAATGTAGTCAAATAGCCTGTCGGGATAATTTTTCAGTTCTAGAAATAAATGATGGAATTCCCCTAGGCGTTTCCGACTTTTATTTACGTCGTGCACACTACACTGCCGCACTCCAGTCATTAAAAGCACTTGCAGGTAAGTATTATTGAGAAGAATGTCATCGTCACTGTCGGAATACATATTTTTACGTCTATCTTCGACAAAACGCGACGCTCTACTATAACCATAGGTGCCTCTTGCCTCTACGCTCTAGACGCTACCAGATATCTGAATCTGAAACCTCGTCGCTCCACTATGTTCGTACCGTAAAATCGTTTAGCCGCTACCGTGCGCGCGGCGCGAGGCAGGTCGCAGCGAACGTGTTAAAAACAGTCGCACTTGAAGCGAAACCATGCACATTTTTTCGTATAAGAAAAGTAAAGCAAAGGCAAAAAAAAGATAAAAATGTAATAAACTAATAAACCTTTGTTAAAGTTATGGCTCAAAAATCAAAGTCATGATCAATGTAATAGAAGCTGCATGTAGGCATTGCCCCCATATTTGAATAAGTAGACTGTCTAATAAAATCAAGAAGTCTCTAAGAATTTCAATAAGCAATACTAAATGTATAAAGATCTATGAAATTGTTAATTAGAATGATATTTTACACAACAGGGTTTTTTCAAGGGGATGGCTTCCAATTTGCAAAACTGCAACGATTGGGGGAACAAAAACGAGGATTTTCTTCTGTTTCTATTGACAAAAAGAAAGCAGATATTGAATGAACGTCATCAGGACAAGCATTAAGGCACGCGGTCCGAAGGTATATAAAAAAAGAACTTACCGCTGAGGGTCAAAATCTCATAAAAAAAAATGGAAGACGTAGCACCCAAAATAACTAAACTTAAGTCACACAACAAAAATAAAAGGGTGCTAGTCTATGAATGGGTACTTGGGGCCTAATATCCCAGAGTCTGGAAAACGACGAAAAGACCCCTGCACCATGACCTCAACGGAAACTGAAAAACGAATCACAGAATACGTAACGTTCTAGAGGAAGCAATCTTGAATGGCCTTGAAGAAGATATGTTTTATAGGAAGCCAGCTAACGGAGAAAAACTGAGTTTTTTTGCTGAGAAAGATATAATACGAGTGAAATTACACAATCAATTCACTATTAAATTTGCAAAAAGAAAATCATTGAAAAGGTGTTTGGCCTAGGAATGGGCACTCTATTATCAATGAGGAGAAATTCAAATTACTGATAAGTGATAAATAGAAAAAAAAGGTTACGTGATTTTGGCACGTGACAAGGTTAAAAAATGACCAGCCCCAAATATCGTTTGCGCCCCGTCCTAGACGAAATCCTTAATCCGCCCTTGAATCACCCCGCACGAAATTTATGGAAAACGGGTCCCCCGTCGATTTGTCTGAGAATGGAGTATGATACATGTTTACGCTTTGTATTTCAAATTTGGTGTTGTGATACTTTAGAATATATTTCGAGAAAACGCGAAAGATAACTGACAGCTTCGCAATCCTGAAAGACGTAACATTTTGTAACAATATAATTCTCGTTTTTCTTCTCGTTCTTTCGGTAATGTTTCTGAGAATTAGACGGTTTGCTCGATTTGTAAAAATGGTGAATGTGACGAGTGTAGTTCTTAGAGCAGAGATCGCCATCTTTTCAGTGCGTTGAGCTAATTTTGGAATAAACAGTGAGCTACCTAGTCGTAAGCAATGTAAGCCAACTTAAATGAAATTAATACATACTAATAAACTTAAATAAACTAGTAACTAATACATACTAGATTACTACATCCATTCCTACCAATTGTAGGTGTTTGAAAAATAAACAAATTATCCACAAGAAAACCAAAATATCTAAGCCAGATTGAATTTTACAGTTCCGGAATCAGTTCATCACGTTCTTTGAAAAATTGAACTATGGCAAATATGATATCATTAAAACGTTTCAGCACTCGTCCCCTACTTAACCATCGGACTTCAGAGTGTATTGACAGTCTATTTCATCGGTCTAGGTTCTGAATAATCTTCTTTGTAACTCTTGAGCTCTAATCTTGTTCACAATTTTTACAATCAATTTCATAACATTGTTTAGTTTTAGAAAATGTCCATATATAATGCTTGCTGATGGATAATGCAGTGGTAACAGGGAAATTGCGGAAAACTTTCATCTTTATGACATAACCCTACGAGACCCTTATCACGACTCACCATAGCTGGAGCGCCATCGGTTATAACTATAACCATTGCTCATTACTTCTACTCGTATTATCACTATATTAGCAGAAAGTTGCATAGATTTTATAGCAGACACTATTTCGTCTTTATTCCTAAGGTTGGCAAACAATAAATTTGCAGCTTCTAAAAACGCCCGTTTTATCATTTAACCGTCTTCATAAGGCTTCTTCTTTTATGTAATTATCTGTGACACCCGGTATGATGCTTCAGTTACAGCCTTACTTCTGTCTATTGTTTTCAAAAACATTGTCTGTTGTCCAATTAACTGATTTTTTAATTGTTTACAGTTTCTCTCGATACTCTCTTTTTTACCAACGGAAACAGGTGTATTACATAACAAACATACATTTTTACCTTTAACTTCTGTAAAGAAATATTGGTCTTCCCATTCTGAATGGAAATTGTATGTCTTCATCTTCTTACTACTGCTCATAATGGTTTTAATTGCAGCTAACTCTAACCCAACCGCTGTGCTTTGTGCCGTTCAGTTTTAAACTGAGCGGACTGTCGCCACGCCTTGCGTATTTATTCCGTTCAAAGTAATCCAGATCGTTCTCAAACAGATCGCTCACCGCAGTGTTGCCGCTGCTTGTGTTTATTATGAGAACATACAAAACTTACGGAAGCTGCTATGATTTTGAAACCTTTTTAAAATATGTTGTGAGCTACCAGAATTGCCTTGGCGAGCTAGCGGTAGCTCGTTATCGGCGAGTTGTCGACCACTGTCCCAGAGTCTCAGACTAAATACCCAGAGAATTGCTATTAGATACTAAAGAAAGTACCTACTTATTTTCAAACCCTTTATAAGATGGTGTTGGAAATTGCTATGTTGATCTTGCAAGGTCCATTCAAGGGCTTGTTTTCATACGTTGACCCTGAAATGAGTATGGCACAAATTGTTAGAGAATTCAAAAAGATCCACTCAAGAGGACAGTTCGCTTCAGTTATCTTTGATTAGGACTTTCGCAAGGTCAATTAAAGGTCATGTTGATTTTGAGGGCAAAGTAGAAGCAGGAAGCGTACTGAAATGAACATAGCTGTAAGGCATTGCAATTTATTGACCATTAATCATGTGTCAGTTTTTTCGAAGGATAACGAACTGCATTCTACTGGTTTTATATCGAAGAAATCAAATACGCATAGAGTTTCGGCACCAGATTTACATCTGCAATAATTCCCATTAATTATTGCCTAATAATTAGGCAAAACATGTGTATATCTTGTACTTCATCCAACGTTAGAACCACGGTTGACTGTTGCGGCGTTACGTAGAGCTGAAGTACTAATCACCAGTGTCACTCACACTGCTACGACTAATCCAATAACATCTCACGCACCAAAACTCATCAAGCCGACTGTTGCCTTTGAAATAGATTTTTTACACACATATCCACGCGCGAAGAACCTAACCCTTCTTCTAAGTCAGTCGGGCACAAAAAACTATAACTATGTTTAGATGTTGATTTTATCCTATTGGTTGTTCTTTGTATCACACACGGAACAGTTTTTTAAAAAAGATAGTAAAGTTGCCAACCGCCAATTTGTTGATTTCCTCTTCTGTACTCGCTGATCGGCTTGTGCAATTTGACTCAAGTCTGTTACTAAGGTTTTGGATTATGATTGTTGAAGGTGTATGAACATAAAACCACTTTAGCTCACGGTAACTTACTCTTGTTGCTTCGTTGGAGTACCCAAAGCTTCTTGTACCACCTGCTGGCTTTACATCCGTTAACATATTACGGACAAGTAAACATGCTGCCTTCGTCTGTCAGACCACAGGCAGCCAACAACGAACAGTTGTTTCGTGTTTTTTGGCAACTGATTAGCATGGTCTAGATTTCGTTCATTCGACCACAGAGGGCCAATCATGGGCAGCTCTTTTGTGCTATTTGGCATTTCCTCAGCATGGTCTAGGCTTAGTCTCAGATAGGACAACGAACGAAAGCTGAAACTATCCTCTACCCAGACTATAAGGTCTATCTAAATAAGACAGCACAAATTGTCATCTATTAACAAAAGTGAACACAGCAAGCTGACTGTTGGAGCTGTAACCACCTCGCATTGTCATCTGGGTGCTATAGTAGATGTGGTTTACTTGCCTTTGAACGAACAAGTAATATGATATCTGAAGCTGAGCAACAGTCGTCTATATAGCTTGCTGTTTTTACTCTCTTAGCGGTCAACTCTGATAATAGATGGTACTTTTTGTCTTAATCGATATACCTTATACTCTAGTCTAGATAGAAGATACTCGCTCAGCTTTTGGTCATTGTCCCACCTGAGACAAAGCATAGACAATGCTGAGGAGTTGCCAAATAGCACCAAACAGCTGTCCATGATTGGCCGTCAGTGTAGGACGAACGAACCCAATATTACTAGTTTGATCAAAGGCGAGTAGACCGTGTATACTTTATCACCAGAATCGACCACAGTAATGACCTAACTGACTATGTGAACTGGGATGCAGTTCTAATAGGCAGTTTGCTGTTTTCACTCTCGCAGTGGTCGATTCTGGTAATACAGACGGCACTTTATGGTGCCTTCTTTCGATAGGTTTGAACATATCTGCCACTAGGAAATCTTACGGCTTAAAATTAAGTAACTCACAAAATGAAATCACGCGGATTGTCAATACTTTGTCTGTCTTGTAATTGCCACGAGGCACACGCATCATCGCATAGATATTATTCCTGATACGAGTGCCTCTATTTGACGCGTACCTAATCCCAAAACATAATTGGCACACACGTTCTTTTTGATAGATCGAGAGCTACCCAATGTGGTCAAGACAGGAGGTTTCATAAATGATGAAAGAACTTTGTAAGATTTGAACATTTCGCTTTCAAAGCAGAAGGTTATATAAATATCAATTTGAGCCTCCGGATTGTTTCTGATACGTATATATACAGGGTGAGTCACACGTCGTGACCAAAAATTAAATATCAGGACCGCATTTTAAGGGGGACCTTCTATGTAACATGTAACAAAAAACGTATTTTCGCAAAATTTGTTGTGGTTTGAATTTGATGGAACGCATTATCTATTCTTTGTTTTAACTGATCAACAGTATTAATTCGTTCAGCATACACTAGTTGTTTAAAAGCGACCCACAAAAGGAAATCCAGGGTGTTCAAATCAGGAGATCTCGCAGGCCAATGTACAGGTCCGTTTCTGCCAATCCATCGTTGCCTAAAATGATTATTTAACAATGCGGTTGTCACAAGAACATGCGGTGGAGCACCGTCGCGTCGTGCTAATACCACATTAGTACTATCTTTGCTAACGGAACATCATCTAACACATTTTCTTGTTACTCTCTAGAAAAGCTAAGTATGATTTTGCATTTGAACGTTGTGGCAATACGTGCATAGGCAGTTGGACATTAAAAATGCCGCTCTAGACATTTCTAGAAAATCTGTGTTGAAACGAATGGATTCTTACAGAACGGGAATGTTCTAACGACCAAATATGTTCATTATGAGAATTAAAAGTAAAACCTCCTGATTTAAAATTCTTCACCCAAGACTTTGAGAACATGGTAACAGGGCTGCAATCCGCCTAGTACTTGTGCTAGGACCATCCAATCCCAAATTAATCACTTCCAGTCCCTCTTGAACGGTATGACAGACACCATAGCCTCCAACTCCGGGAACTTTGGCAATTCCATATTGCCGAATTCTTAGAAATGAACGCCTTTGGGGTAGATTGGGGTCTGTTAGGGAATTAAATTTTCTGAGAAGCCGCTAAATCAGTTCCATTACAGAACCCGTACACAAAAATAATATCGGTGTACTCATCGTTGCTAAATTCCATTTCACAACACATAAAAATGGAAAAAAGAGAATTTTGACTTGAGTTTTACATAAAAAAAATGGTAGTAGTAACGATAACAACCGTATAATTCATAACTTTGTCAAGCTATCTCCCAAGAAACGTCAAGTTGGTATCAAGGCCTCGTATTTTATTTTGAACTAATTGTACCTCGGCTCTTCATGAATGATCTGATATGTTTCATTTTTATGTTTACAAAAACAGTGCACTCTAGGAAAAAAACACAAGAGTAATTATTTGTACCAAATTGAAGGTAAAATTCGAAAAATTTCGCGATTCGAAAAGAAACAGTGGCGTACTATTTTTATTATTTAGGAATAATAGTGCTACTAATCCCCTGTATCTCCGGCACAAGTACAGACTTTAGAATGTGGACAATATTTAGGTAAATCCACATACTAAATTTTAGTTGATTCTAGTTGACGGTTTTGAAGATACAAAAAATTTTTTTTTTATTTTTAAACTTCAATACCCCATATTTTTGTAATGCTCCTATTTGTGATACCTCTTCTAGTTATATTTATTATGGAAGCTCTACTACTTTTTTTGCTATGTAAATAGTATTCACTGAAGGGCCACAAACGTTTTATTATTATTATTATCATTATTATTTAAGGCCGCATCGTCAGTCGTTCCTACAATTGTAGGACGTCTTTATGGCCCTCTTGATTTTTATAGTATTTTCTCTCCTTCAGAAAGGCAGTGGTATTTCTGGATTTCTAATGTTATGTGTCAGCATCAGCGCTCTCCTATTGTGAAGTTATGTTTTCTTTTTGAATTATAGGAAATTTAAGGAGGTTAAAACAGATGATATAAATCAAAAGCATGAAATATTTGTTACATAACTTCAAAATAGAGCGCTGAAACGGAACAGTACAAAAACAATGAAAATCCAGGACGCCTTAAAGACATCCTACAATTGGAGGAACGACTGACGATACGGACCTAAGTCAGATAGGAGTAAAATAAGATAAATCGTTTTCGAATATGTTCGGTATAACCAGTAATGAATACGGTCCTGACATTTACCCGATTCTTGCCCAATTCATCATTGCCAACATTACAGACTTTAATATAAAGACGTCTGTTGCTGATGAGCTATTCACCTCAGTAGACGTTAAAATGTAACGGATGCTCGTGAAAAAGGCCACATACGTTCGTTGCGTTGCCGTGTAATCGATATGCGACGAGCCTGTTGCAAATATTTCTCTTCTTCTGTTTCAAGAGCGAATGTATACTTTATCTGAAGTCACTTGAAACACTGCGAAATACCGGGTGCGTTTTATATATCTATATTTAACACGCTCTGTTGCTGCAAAAATCGCCAAATTTCACAGCAAATATCCCCCGTATAAGATCAAAGGCAGTTTCACCGGTCCACGTGGAGTAAAGCACGCCTATGCGTGGACATAGCCAATGAGAAAGCGTGTATTTCAGAGCTCGGAATAAGTGCAGGTGGCTACTGAAAATTGAAACAGTTTAGCCAGTGCCGTGTAGCGGTGAATAAACGTGTTTTCTTTAGTCTGTCCGTGTTTTTTCATAGATTTTATTAGTTTGTGTGTTTTTGACTTTTGAATACTCAGTTTACTTGTTGATTTAATTGTTGTGTTGATTGTTCTTGTGTGTCCTAAATATGGTTCTTTGGAGACCTTGGGAAAATGCTCCAAGCCACGAGGAGATGGTTGATGAACCTGTGCAGGCAGAATTCTTTCATAAAGATTTAGAGGAACAGACCCAAAGAGTAATCCTAAATATGTATGATTCTCTTAAAAACGAAAATCCAGATTCCTCGCAAAGTCAAATTTTAAACAGAATTTGTATCCTGACAAAAATCAGTCGGTCTACCATTTATCGGGTTATAAAAAGGGGAGATGTAGTCAACCATTCCTTCCACAGAAAGCGCATAGGGCAAAAATTAAAAAGAATAGACGTGGGTTTTCAGGAAGATATTCGTCGTATAATATACGGATTTTATAAAGAAAATTTGGTGCCCACGTTGGAAATGACACGGGATAAATTAAAAGATTATCCTGAAGATTTTTATAATTACAAATGCTTAGACTCACTGCACAGTATTGTAAAACTGTGTGGTTTTCAATACAAAAAATTAGATAAAAGAATGGTGATCTCGAATCGTTGAATTGCGCCAAGAATTTTTGCACAAAGTTAAAATCTATAGAGAGCAGAAAAGAAATCTGATTTACCTGGATGAAACGTGGTATGATACCCATGATGTTGTGCAGTACGGCTGGGTTGACGACAGCAACAAGTGCATTTTAAATGCACCATGCAACCGTGGAAAACGAATCATTATTCTCCATGCTGGCAGTGAAAATGGATTTATACCTAATGCCTTGCTGTTATCTGCCAAAAATATCAAAGAATCATGTGCCGACTATCATGAGGACATGACCTCCGACTTATTTGAAACGTGGATAGAGCATCAGTTAATACCAAACATTTCCCCAAATTCAGTGATTATTATGGACAATGCGCCATACCATTCCCGACAGAAAAACAAAATTCCGAATACAGGTACAAAAAAACAAGACGTTATTGATTTTATGAAGGATAAGGGAATGGAAATACCACAAAAATCAACCAAAGCCATATTATTGGATCTTATTAAAAGACGAAAATTTGAAAAAGAGTATGTTGTTGACAATCTGCTTCAGCAAAATGGCCATGAAGTATTACGTCTACCTCCCTATTACTGCATTTTTAACCCGATTGAGTTGGTCTGGGCTGCTTTAAAAAAAAAGTAAGAAAACATAATCAGACCCCTCAATTAAGTGAATCGCTATTGGCCACAATAAGAGATGCAGTATCTCATATTGCTGCCACAGACCTATGGAAGCAGTGTTCTAGGCATATTATTGAAAAAGAAAATGAATATTGTGTTTTGCCTCCTGTAAATCCGCACGCCTATGATACGTCATGAAATTACAAAGGACGCGCCGACCAAAGGTTTTTATGCTATTTCAAGTGACTTCAGATATACTCATACAGGGCTGCGTCCGTAAATTGTACTACTCTGTAACAATTTGAGCGCTCGTAATTATTTGACGTTCCTGTTCCATGTGTTCGGCAATAGAACAAAGTAATCCTTCTGTAACGCCAAAAGTGCACTTTTCTTCCCGTGCTTGAAACCTTGGGAATAAGACTGTTGGGACTTGTCATTCTTATGGTTCATTGTTTGTTTACTTCATCCGTTTATCAAAAAGTACTCAAAATTGGCAGAATATATAGTTTTCACGATAAATGGTCTATCTCGTATCCGTAGCGTTTCGTATAAAAGAAAAATGGTGGCAGAATACGTAGTTAGAATTCACCATGCCGTCATCAAATGTCGTTTTAAGACTTTGTAATAATTTAGGCGTTCTAAAAATAAAGTTACACAGTATTCCAAAGTAAAATTTCATCTATCAATCTACATCCCATTACTGTGTACGGTATTATATTACCAAGTGATTTAGTAACCCACCCCAGATAAATATATGTGTGACATTATACTGACCGATGCAGATAATTACCTGGGTTATATGCGCATAAATATACTAGCACCAAAGAACTACTTTTTCCGCTTTTGCCCTTAGCTCCGTTGCCACTTGATCGATTTTCAGAAACGTCAAGTCGTTTCCGTCTCGAACATAGTAGTAACTTTATGTGAAAATTTCGTCAACATTTAAGCGTTACTTTCCAAGTTATAGAGGGGTCAATGATTAGTAGGCAGACAGACCGACATACTCATGCAAATCAGTGACGTAAGTATCCATGTTTATTCGCCAGTCTCGTGGGAATGTGAGAATGTGGATAAAGATTTTGGATATTTTGTTCATGTTGTACTTCCTGTGCCTTATCTTCTTTGATAAAACTTAACTTACACTCACACAGTAGTTACCTTATTTATAGATAGTAAAATACCTATAACAGGTAATGATGCGCAGCTGTTCGAAAACGCTATGATAATAGAAAACATCGTGATAGAAAGAAAACAAAGCGTAACAGTACTAGACGTTTATAAAACTAACAAAAGTAACAATCTCTCGATCAGAAGATTACTTTTCCTGATGACGGCACCAGTCCAGAAGAGCTTCAACCTTAGTGGCATTCTTCAGCCATACCTCATTCAGTCTGTAGCCCAACACTACTTCAGTTCCTAAGTCGGCCGATCTCATTTTGAATGCGGTTTGCAAGCTGAATTTGAGCGTAGCAGCTAGTAGATCTCCTTGAATTCCCCCACCGGTGATACTAGTCTAAACAGATATAGATTGATAGATTAAGTTTCGAAATAGCTTTAATAGTGCTTCCAATATTCCCTGAACCAGTCAGAGGTGATGTTGTTATGCGCTTATTTAAAATTGCGATTATGAGTTGGCAGACTAGTGAGTGGTAATTGTCGCCTAGCATTCACAAGCGATGATTTTTCTAGTACCTCTCTCCATTTTACACCTATATCGTATTAACGAACTCTGATGAGAGAGAAACATCATAGTGTGCAGGGGATTTGAAACGATGCCTGATAGTAATGAGCCTAGGAAACTGAGAGCGTAGCAGCTACTACACATCCTTGCATTCCCGCTTTTGTGATACTCTAGTCTAAACAGATATAGAATCGTAGATTAACGCTTGAAACAGGTGATGATATTTTGCCCTCATTTGAATTTGTGAATATGACAAGCTGGCCAACCAGTAAGTGATAATTGCGATGCTTTCCCCACTACTTCTCTCCATCCTATAATATATGAAATATCATCATATGCAGCAGATTTGATATGATGCCTGGAAGGCATTAGGATACCGATACCGAGATGTATATCGGCGCTATCCGAGTATTTTGCTTATATTGCTTATGTCCAGTAAGTACCACGACAAATTTAAGAAGAAGGTAGGCTTTAGACTGACCTTCCAAATAACAAAAACTTACCTATATAAAAGCGTGATATTACAGCATTACAAAAAACAGAACAGAATACATAAAAAAATATTTTTTTTGTATTACAGTAACCTGTTTCTGGTAAGTTTGTAATACAACTTAACTGACACTTTCAGTTTTATCCGAATCGTTCAATGGTTGCATTTTAATATTTAGAAGATGTGATACTTCATATTTTCATATTTGATGTTCGCTATTTCGTTCTAAAGAAATCTGTTTTTCGCATAGGGCAGAAACTGCACTATTTATTAATTTGGTCAGAATTTTGATCAGTAACTTTGTCGAAGTACTCAACCGATCACCTAAACTTTCTGACCTGCTTAAATAAATGCGTGAATGGAAAAATTTACTTGTAGAAATGTTTGAATTTCCATCCTTCTACAAGTCGAGCTTCCGCAAGTGCACATGTAGAGCGTGTGTATCTCTAAGCTGTAGTTTGCCACTATTTACACTAGAGTCTGTATTTTCTTTCATCTGTTTTTGGATGACCAAACGAAATCAGATATAGTGAGAATGTGGTTTCTACTCATTGTTCTTTAAACTGTTACTGTTCAAGTCCGACTACAGTGTTGATTACCAAAAATTCGAACAAATATAAGGTACCTGAACCAAATATGGGCACTGACCCAAACTTGGGCACTATCTGGAATAAAATAATTCTAATACAGGTCTCTCTGTAATTTACAGTTAAATGTAGCCACTAATCATAGACAAACTCACTGCATAAGTTGTTTCATATATCATCTACGAGGTGGCGCTCTTCAATTTCTAAATAGTGAAAATGGCTGCCGTGTACGTGGACCTTGTAATCTCTGTCAGTAATACTTTCGCCGATTTTTTATTGTAAATGTAAATAAAATATTGATCACCATATATCAATGTGAAGCTGGTAACTCTTAATTGATTGATTTTTACATATAAAACTACAGAAGTAAGTATTGCTTGAAATAGTCACAAAGTTCCATTTTGCCAAATATGGGCATTCGTGAAAGCGCTAAATATGAGCAGTGCCCATATGTGAAACACTATCATTTTTTGCTCATTGAACTGTTTTTTACGCTGGGCTTGTTTTTCCAGGAAATAAACAAAAAAAAAGAGCTCAGTGGAGTTCTGAGTCTTTAAGAGACGCTGTTATGGCAATTCAGCAGGGAATGAAGATAAAGCGGGCAGCAATCCATTTTGGTATACCACGGAGCATTTTACAACGCCATGCCAGGTCTTGAAACAAAGTGAAACGTTTGGGTCGAAAATCTATCGTGACTAAGGACCAATAAGACGAGTTGTGCTCAAGAATATTTAGGCTTGCTGAGATAGGAATGCCCATTACATCCAAAATATTGCGCAGAGGCGGAAATAAACAATATTCAGTGGCGGTGTAACAAGCAAGAGTCATATTTGGTTGGCAGAAAATGGCTGAAGTTGTTTCTTAGACGGCACCGTGATGTTGCTCGAAGAAAATCTCAAAACGTTCACCCAGCACGAGCAGCAAAGCTTAATAAACTTATTGTTGCACATTATTTTGACACTGAAAAAAAGTGATGACTGATCTAGATGTGATGGGTAAGCCGCATTTAATTTTTAACATGGATGAGAATGGTTGTCAGCTACCTGTACATAAGGAGCCTGCTGTGTTGACCCGCAAGGGAATTAAAAGAGTAACTTTTGTAGCTCCAGAACACGCGGAACAATCTTCCACCTGGAGCTAAAGTATTGGTGACCCAAAAAGGAAGTATCACACCTAGATGCCAACATCGTTACTGTTGCAGAAGAAGCTCGCATAACATTGCTCTGTCTACCTAGCAATTATACGCAAGAGCTACAACCCATGGATAAATCGGTATTCCGTTCATTTGAATACCTTTGGGATGATGAACTCCAGCGCTTTTGAGAGGTTCATCTAAACAGGAAATTAACAAAATCAAGCTTTGGCATTGTATCTTCCAAAGTATGGCCAAAACCAACTACACCTGCAAATGTATCGGCAGGCTTTTGAGCAACTAGTATATATCCCTTTGATCCGACAGCATTTGCACCATCAATATGATCAGAGAGGCCTCAATACGTACGATGAAAATATTGTTGACCCTCCTGCGACTTCGTCTCCAAGACCTTCAGCTTCACGAACAGATATCGAAGAAGAAGCTACTTCTACAGATGAAAGTATGGAATGGGAGGCATTTTCATCATCCTCTTCTTCTGTACAGTCCACTCCCGAAATAAGCGACAACTCAGACGGTGAGCAGTCACAACCTTTTTCACAGCTACTGCCAACACCAGAGCTTCCTGCTAAGTCTGCGGCTCTAAGGCCTGCTAAAAAGGCAAGAATTTACAAGTCCGTTCAAGTAACCCGAGCACTATTTCCTACAAAAATCACGCAATCAAAAATGCCACAGAATTCACCAAAAAAGCAAAATAAAGCTACCTGTACTGGTTTGTCCCATGTCAAAGCAGAATCGTGATATTGTCCTCTATGTGGAGAAGTCCAGAAGAGAGATATGAGGCAGTGCACCATTTGCAAGGCATGGGTACACGAGGAAAGCTGCGGTTTGACCTCAAAAACTATTATAGAAAATTTCCGGTGCTCGCAATGTAAAGATTAGTATTTAGTTTGTGAGCAGCTAGTTGTTGCTGCGTTTTCCCTGTTTTTGGATTCTAAATTTTTCAAGTAATTTTTCTTAGAAAATGCTGTTAAATTTATGGAAGCTCTGTTAAGTTTGTATTTCTTTGTTTTATTTTGAGTCCACAAAAATGCGTGTCCAAATATGGACACCCAGTGCTCACATTTGGAACCCAGGCGCCACTTGACAGTTGTTTATTGTTTATCTTTTCAATCTATAATAAAGTTGTATTTTTCTATTCGATCAATATTTTTGTTATTTATACAGGTATACATACCAGAAATTTGATTGTTTTATAATGGATATTAAACGTTTGACCACATAATTTGCTTAGGGGTGCCCATATTTGTTCAAGTCACCTTACTTGTTATACAGTTATGTGTAGTAAGTATGTCCTTCATGTGAGATTGTACAAAAAAGAGATACAATGTAAATTGTATATCTATATTGCCCGATTATTCATCGGTATTCGCGAAAACTCTATTCCGGTCGATCTATACTAAAATTAGTATTAACCCCATAGGACAGACACCCTTTTAGCGCATGCCAGAGCCACCTGGTAGCCTTATTGTCTGTGACACTAATTTATTCCTGTTTACCAACATGTATGGATACTTTCGAGCATAAACGCATTTTTATAGTTTACATTTATGCAGTAGTCTTGAAATGAATACTATAGTACTTTCACGAAATTAGATATGAATATTGTCATTACCTTAACATCATCGACTTTCCAATGAATCTTGAGTTTGTCAATGTGGTGTTTCTCTTTGTTAAAGTCCATCTCTCCACTCCAGTGTACTTCCGACAACAAAACTCTAAAATTCAAATGCACTAACTTAGATACAATTTTAGCCGAGTTGGATATAATGTAACATTTGAAACTCAGCCTGTAGTTTTCAGGCTGACAACACCGGCACATGATAATGAAAAAAAGTGGTATGAACATCAATGTGTATTTTGATGCGCTGAGATCTGTTTGACCCATACATCCTCAAAAGTTTGAGTAAACTGTAAAAAATCGCTAGAATACGCTAAAGATCGCAAACGAAAAAATGTTTCTCTTTGATAAAATTTATTTCTTATGTAGACAAGTCTGAAGTTACTGCAGCTCCAAATATCAGGTAAAAAAGATATTTTGAGCTGGATCAAGTTTATATTTTATGTATTTCGATATACTTGTGCCTGCTCGCCGTTAGCCGAGGAACTGTGCTCTGCACTGTGCTGTTGCTCACCGTCACCACTTGGAGGTGCTTTGGTTACAGAAACAAGTGATAGATCTCTTGACGATCTCTTCCAGACTCTGGACTACTTTCCTTCAAATGTTGAAGACTACAGTTAAGAATAAGAACAATGATTTCACCAAGACCTGAGTGAAATGAAAAATCGCTATCAAGGTAGATGGAACGTCACATGATAACACATTTTTACTTGCATGGATGGCATTTTTTGCGACTTGAAATTTACATTGATCTTGTTTGTAAACAGTTTTTTCAGTTGTATAACTGCAATGTTTCGATTTTTACCGATTTCTGGCAATTTGTTCCAGTTTTTTCGAAATTTAGAGGGTCCACGAACAAAACCAACCTCAGAACCAAGAATATTACCTAGTTTCTGGCTGCATGGCTTGGTCCTAAAGCTAAAAAAAAAACAAGAATATTTTTGTAGTTTGCATAAGTACATTTTTTGCTGTGTTTAGCCATTTTTAGAGGTTTTTTACAACTTGCTCAAAATGTTTAGCGTATACGGATCAAACGGAACTCAAATTCCGATTTAGCATATCGAAGTTCTAGGTGGGTCTGGCCAAATGTACAGACCACTTTTTTATTTCTGTGGGCCGGTGTAATCTTTCATATTTGTCTGGAAGCTAAATGAAACCACATATGTTTGAAATACTGTTGAACTGATACACCATTTCGGTCACCATTGTGGCCGTTTTCAAGTACAAATAACAACTATGATGATAATGACATTATATTTTGTTTGTCTGTCTTCTTAGTAACAGTATCTTTGCTTCTTTTTTCTCTTCTTCATTATATGATATGATGTGTTGCTACAACAGTCTGAACGGTCCTGTATCCATGCTGTGATCGCGCGAAGCCATCATTGCAATTTTAAGACGACACACCGTAGACCCAGCAAAGCCTAGGATCGCCTAGAATAAGCATTTTCGCTCCAAAAGTAATGTGCAGCCTGCCAAAAAGTCAAGCAAGCATTAGCTTACATGAAATTTATTTGAATGTACCATACACCCTCGTCTATCGTTCCAAAAACGTAAAAATATAGCCCTTGCATTAACTAAAAGGTAAAAACAACTTACGACCAGTTTCCTTCATGGTAGTTATGAATTAGGCCTTTCACTTCAGCTGTGTACTGTCCTTCTACTTCGAACTTTGGCCAGTAGAGGTCGTAATCGAACTTAGCCACCTTGGCGGAGTCATCTGACAATTGACTGGCTTTGATCTGCACATCAGGGACACCATACCAATTGGGGTTAATTATGGATGCGTGGATACTGTAAACAGAGACATACTAAATAGCACAGAGAAAATTGCAAGTTTCAGGATTGCCACAGCTTCACGGCTTATTAAAACACTACGATGTTTGGATCAACACTTTTAAACATGAAGAAGTTTTAAGGTTTGTTCAAATTGTAGTCGGTCACTTGTCGGTGATTGTGTTCGGGATCCGGCCGTGTGAATTCCGTCTATAGCGTAGCAGAATGAACGAAATTTGTGTGGCGGGATCGTGGACGCGATCACTAATAGGTTAGTGACAGCTGTACGAACAGGGCTTTATAACCAAAAAATACAAACGAATTTAATTATTTGTCTTTATGTTTGTCCCAGGGAACGGTTTTGGGTTAAATTTCGAATATTCATAGATCCATCGGCCTCTCTGTCTGTCTCACCTTGATCTACCTATAATTTGGACAGTACCACTCAGATTTTGATATAAAGTTTTGAAAAAAAGCTAATACTATGCTAGGGACGACAATATCTTGTAGGTTTTAAAGTCGATTACGTGGCAGCGGAGCTACAGGCAAAAAACTAAAAAATAAATTAATCGTTGCATCTTTGGTCTCCGCAAAATAAGTTCTACTAATATTCTCAACAATACTACGTTACTCTGACCTGTTGACATAACACTCACACATATACAGTATTCATTTGAAAACTTACCACCACGGATTTATCGAATAAAAGAAAAAACTCCGAGACACGTCAAAAGATTTGGTCCCCCAGGATCATTCCCTTAAGAATTTTAAATAACAAGGGGTATCGAGTAATAGCTAAACGTTCGATTTTGTAAAATCAGTTGATTTATTTTCGAGAAAATTAGAAAAATCCGTATTTATCTTAATTTGTTCACCTAGAATACAAGAACAGGAAAATATCACTTTTTATTCCAATAAGTGTTTACAAAGTTGCTCGTTAGGATTTGCCAAATATACAATTCGTTTATAGTTTAAAACAGAAACTACCAACATAAACAGCAATTCGGAAGATTAGACGTGGCAAAAACCAAATAACAACCCGAATTTTTTCTCGGCATTCTATTCATCAACACAGATATCCTGGGCGAACTGTATTTATTGTTATACCTGTTTAGTCATTTGTTGCTAAGGGAAAGAAAGAATTTAATTTGCTGTCAGTTACCTTTGTGACAGTCTTGGGATCGTGAAAATTAATTTATTAATTCAGAGTTTACTTCCAAAATGGTTTACACACTAGCCGAAAGAGAGGAAATGATTCTAATTTATGGTGCCCAAAATCAATGTGCTCGGCAAACTGCCGTCACGTTTAACGCCAGACATCTGGGGAAGATAACTTCGCATAGGTATGTTTTGGACCTTGTTACTAAATTTACTTAAGCTGGATCTGTTGCAAATAAAAAAAGTGATCATCGGATAGTTTTTGATTAAGCCACCCAAGTGGATATAAATCCTAATACTTCATTACGCAAAATTGTTGCTGCAACCGGTGTTTCATTACGCTCTGTACACACAGTTACTAAACTCCATAAATTTCATCAATTCAAAATCAAAATACTGCAAAAGCTAACCGAAGATGATTCCGATAAGCGCGTCTAGTTTTGTGAACAAATGATTGCAGCGATTAATGATAATACCATTCATGTAAACAATATCTGCTGCAGTGATGAATGCACATTTTATCCAAATGGATTTGTTAATAAGCATAACTTCAGGTATTTGAACAATGAAAACTCATGCTTTTGTATGTAGAGAGGCATACCCAGTACCCCCAAAAAATTAATGTATGGGGCAGGCATCTTAGGAAACAAATTAGGCCATTGTTTATTAATGGAAATTTGAATGGTGAAATTTTTTTGATATTTTAGGATATACCATCAATCCGCGTATCACTGAAACCATTGAAAACCAAATCGAAGAGGATGGAAACCCTATAATTGATGAGGTTGAAATATATTACCAGCAAGTCGGCGCTCCTGCTCACTATGTTCATCCGGTCCGGCAATGGCTAGACGACGAGTTTCTAGATATATGGATAGGGCGAAGAGGGCCTATAGAATGGCCTGCTAGATATCCTGATTTGTCGCCATTAGACTTTCTATGGCCATTTCAAATCTATTGTGTTTACTCTCCAACCTGACAGTTTGGAAGAACTTCGTCAACGAATCATCGAAAGCCTTCATGATACGCCACAACATGTTTTTGAAAATATCCGTCAGTAATTTGAACATTGTCTATATATTTTAATTAATGGGAAATTAAATTATCAATTATTATTAAATCGTGAGGAGAAAATTATTAGAATTTGAGTGGAATGAAGTTTATTGGTGGAATCGACCAAGAAACAGATTCCATTTATGATTGTGAAGAGTCAAAATTTGGGGAGATATGTAAGTTCTCCAATTTTTCGCAGTTTAGCAAATATGAGTAAATGACACTCAGTTGCTTAACATCTGTCTTTTTGTTGATACAGTATATGTATATATATATATATATATATATATATATATATAGGGTGTCCGCAAAGTTGGGGTTTTCCTTTTCAGAAACAACTACCCTCGAAATAACAAAGGTAATGTGAAGTGAAACGAGGGCGACCAAGTAAAAAAAAATAAAGGAAAAAGTACTCACTCTCCAGTTGACGAGAAGGGCTAAGTACGTCTCTGCCCGAAATCGTACCGCTCCAACAGAAAATGAAATCAGCTGATGCGCTACCGAGCAGACGTAAACAGTTTAGGTATTGCATCCCGTCCATTCGATCCAATGAGCCTACCGTTCACCATGCCAGCCCAAACATTCACCGAAAATGTTTGTTGAAAATGTGCCCGACGGACAGCGTGCGGATTTTCTACTGACCAAACATGAGTGTTGCGAAAGTTATTCACCCCATTACGCGTGAACGTAGATTCGTCTGTCACCAATATGCACTTCAAAAAGTCCGGATTATTGTCATGTTGATGCAACAACCACTCACAAAACCGCACTCTTGCTGGAAAATCGTCAGGTTGAAGGGCTTGTACACGTTGGACGTGAAACGGATACAGCCCCTCTTCACGCAGCGTTTGTCACACTTTAGTTTTAGATCTTGCACTTCTCTAGCCACGTCTCTAGTGCTTGTTGTTTTTTGAAACGCAATCGATTACAAGAGTTCGTTTACCTCTACACGCGTGACCGTAACCGTCGGTTGAAGGTTGCATACTGACCTGACACACTAACCCCGACCCCCGACCCAGTTCTGTCGTCGGGTTGAGCTAATAGCCGGTACCAGTTGGGGATATCGCGAGTCGCGGCTACAGGACGGTATTCAGATATTTTTGATGTTGCAGAGCCCTTTATTTCGGTTCCCTTAAGACATTGATGTATATGGTACTAAGAAAAATTGTTTTCAAGATCTACACGTCGTGTAAAGGAAAACCCCAACTTTGCAGACACCTTGTATACAGTGCTCCTGACGAGTACTTTATAACAAGTCAATACCTTTACCTACTACAAAATGGTGGTACATTTAATAATTACCTGAATACATTGACATTAAACTTGATAATTCGAATAAATACGTTGATTTCAGTTTAGAAGATGCTGGAAATGGTTGCCTTGAACTTCTTGACATAATAGCAGCCGGTCCGTAATTTCGCGTCATTTTCAAACATAGTAACATCGATATTTCTACAAATATTTGTAATTAATTAAAAAAACACTATTTTTGTGAAATCACTTGATCAATGATCTATTTGTAATCATAAAAGAAATGAATTGGCGTCAAAATTCAAAAATGGCAGTAAACGAACGTTAGTACTGCCTTTTATATAAGTACGGCACATAGGTCTTTTCACGGCTTTAGGAGAATCCCAGTAAACTACTGGGATTGTTTTCATACATCCATCTCCCTCACATACAGAAGCAATCCACAACTATGCTTGTCACTATCACTAGGACAGGTTATCTGCTATAGGCGAGCCATTTGAGTTTACATTATGATAATCTTTGATAGACAAATAAGAGATATAAGTACAATGTTGACAGTATGTACTAAATTTATAGAGGGATTTTCAGAAAACAAATGAAAACGACGATCCATCTAATTCATGTGTGTGTGTGCAAGAGCCAGTAGCAGCTGCGTTAAGGATTGGCTTCCGCAGTATGCAGTTTGCCTTGTGAAATTTAAGCGCCGCGCATGATACAGTCAGTCTGTCTGTTTACATTGTTGCATAATCGTAAGAACCGTAGATTCAATTAGTATTTGATAATGAACTTACACAGCAAGTCCGAGGGGAAATGTGATATTTCTGACGAATCTGGTGACGAAAGCAGGACTGTGTGATGGTACTCCAGCTGCTGGTACTCCATGAATAGTTGCATTTCTGGCGCAGTGGGCTACCCACATTCCGGTGTCCAGATCGGAGGCAACTGGAAACAGATATATGTTATTCAGAGTAAATCGTAATAATATGAAGATGAAGTTGTCATTTTATATCAAAAACAATTGACTATTCGTCGGGGAGAATCTACCCTCTCCATTATCAAGATGGCAGACAATTTCAAAATGGAAAAAAGGAAAGAAAAAGGGGAGGAAAGGAACCGCAAATAAGTGGATCATTTAGAAAAAGCTTTAACAAAGTAGGTTTGGTTCAGTTCGGTGTTCCAAAAATAATGTTGAGGAAGGTTTTATATGAACTAAATTTGGTTGCTGTCTCCACGGTGGTACTGTATAGGGGGCGAAACAAGAACTAAAAAACAAGAGAGTCACATACAAGCTACCGAGGTGAGATTTATCCGAAGTAAATGAATGTTAAACACATAATTCGAGACATAGATGTAACACGAGAACTGCAGATATATAGAATTAGTACTAAAAATAGAGGAAAATAGAACAAAGTGGAAAGACTACCTTAGAGGTCCGACTATCTATAAAAGTTAGAAACTCTATGACTAGAGATATACGTGGGTAGTATGGGTCAATCGAGTAAAATATGGACTCGTAATTTTTATTCACAGTCCAAGGCCTCGCGTGGAGTGTGTTAGATTAAATTTAGAAAATATGTATAATTGATATCATTTATAAAATAAAGTTTACTTTCGACAAGTTATTTTGACAATATTAGATATATAATAATATAAGAGGTAAAGCACTTTTGGCCATTATTATTTATGTACAACTTTGACACAATTTTGACACGCTACATCAGTGATACAAAATTCTAAATACTGAGTATGCAATGACTCGGAGAAAGAAAAAGAATGAAGATGAGACTGTAAATATTAGCTGTGATTCTATTATGTCAACGCAAGAAACATGTCAGTACTTGAAAAAACAGAATAAATTATTACAGCAGGAGTTGTTAGAAAAAACGAAAGATTTAGAAACTTCTAAAGCATTACTATTGGAAAAAGAAACATTAATATACCACCTTTAAAACGAAAACCGCAGATTCCAAAAACAGTATGATCTTATTTCATCAAACATCGTCGATAGGGACTGTATAGTAACACCACTTGAGAAACTCCTTAGGAGAATTGAAAAGTTAGAGGAAACATCCACAACAAAAAATTCCACATATGCCCAAGCAGTCATAAATTCACCATCAAAGAATAAAGAAAAGACACTTATCATTACTCCCGAACAACAACTAACTACAGAACTAAGAATGATCTGAGCAGAAATTTGAATTTATCAAAAATAAACATTAAAATTGAAACTGTTGAACTCTAAAAATGGTGGTATTAAATTATATGTAGAAGACCGGTGCCATAAGAAGCTAAAAGAAGAAATTGGGAAGAATCTACCATCAACATATACATTATCCGAATCGAAAATGTTTAATCCTAAAATAACGATTGTTGGCTACCACTCTGAAGAAAAACTTCAAGAACGTGAAATAGAAAAAGAAATTATGGAAAATATAAAAATCACCTATGTTAGATTCCTTCCCCAAAAAAAGATGAACAGTGACATATAAATCCGAACACCCAGTTTAAATGGTTTTATTTTAATAAAAGTTGGTGAATGTATTTATCCTACTGTAAATAACAAGTGAAAAAATTTTCAGCCTTATCAGTTGGACATTCCGGTTTTTATACTGCTTTTTTTTAATTCACTAACGCTCTAAAAATGAATATTTCAGCCGCAGTAAAGAATCAACATTGGCGGATTTTGGTTCTTGACATCCTTTACGATCGGTTACGATGCCTAGAGTACGGAGACCTGTACGATTTCGTCAACCTAGTGAGTTTGATAGGGGCCATATAGTGGGACTTCGGGAAGCTGGACTTTCTTTTCGGGCAATTGCAGTTAGAGTGCAAAGAAGTGTAGACACTGTGGTTAGGTGTTGTCAGGCATGGCTTCGAGAAGGCCGTACGCAAAGAGCAAGGGGCACTGGACGCCGCCGTAGAACAACAGACCGTGAAGATCGCCACCTAAGATTATTGGCCTTAAGGGACCGTTTCTCCACTACCAGGTCCATTGCAAATGAATGGTTTGCAGAACACGGAAGACCTATTGGCATGCGAAGTGTTTACCGACGAATGAGAAGTTTTGGCTTGTTTTCATATCGGCCACACTGGGTCCTCCCTTTATCTCGAGAACACCGACGTAATCGCCTTGAGTGGTGCAGACAACGGTCACTCTGGGATCAGGAATGGAACAGTATTGTCTTTAGTGACGAGTCTCGATTTTGTTTAGGTATGCACGATGGTCGTGCCAGGGTTAGAAGGCAACGTGGTGAAAGGAGGAATCCACAGTTTTTTGTTGAAAGACATGTTCATCACACTGTTGGAGTTATGGTTTGGGGTGCTATAGCTTATGGTTCCAGGTCACCTTTAATCTTCATTAGAGGTAACATGAACGCGCAGCGTTATATCCACGAAGTTCTAGAACCCCATCTTTTACCCTATCTTGACACCCTGGCAGATCCAACTTTCCAACAAGATAATGCACGACCACATGTTGCAAGAGTCACAATAGACTTCTTTCAACATAATGATGTCACATTGTTACCATGGCCACCAAGATCTCCCGACTTATCCCCAATTGAGCACGTGTGGGGTGTAGGAGATTGCTCAATTTGCAAAGTCCTCCTCAGACTCTAGAAGCACTTCGAGAGGAGTTGGTGGTTGCCTGGAATGAGATACCACAGGAGGATATTGACCACCTGATCAGAAGCATGCCTAGGCGCGTTGGAGAATGCGTCAGGGTGCATCCACAGATTATTAAAGGTCAAAGGGCTTTAAAGCAGTGCAATCATTTTGAAATTTTTATCATTTACTTATTATGCTTCATTAAGTACTTATACAAAATTTTATTAAAATAAAACCATTTAAACTGGGTGTTCGGATTTATATGTCACTTAGTATAGTTTACGCAGAGGTGTCAGGTAAACTATTCAAACAAATATTTGGTAATAATGGAGGGAAAATTTTAATCGGTTTTCAAAATTTATCAGTGTATCCTAATAATGGGGTATGTCAGTGTACTAATTGCTTCCAGTTTAATCATTCTGGTAAGAAATGTAATAGTCATAAAGTATGCTTCAAATGTGGAGAAGAACATGATGTTACTTCATGCATAAAAATGACGGGGTTCTGATTTACGTAAGACAAAATTTGAACAGTGAGTGTGAAATTATAAATATAGCTCAAACAAAACCTTCAAGAATTATTCTTCATAAGAATAACAAATGGATACAGGTCATTGGTGTATACAAATCACCCTCTATATCTGTAACATCATTTAACAGTGAATTACATGATTATCTAGAGAGCAGTAGAAAATTTAATATCAACTTATTCATTGGGGACCTTAACATTAACATATTAAGTAAATCATAACAATCAAAATATTCAAGATTATTTAAATATATGTAATGGCTGGACATGATTACCTATCAGCCATTAACGAAATGACAAGAGTAGACGGAAACAGTGGGAGCTGTATAGATCATATGCTTATAAATTCACGTACAGAACTTGACAAAATGTATTCAGCAAACCTAAATTGCCACATTTCTGATAATTTTCCTACTTTGCTCAAAATCGATCTTGAAAGTACATCATAAAAAATTGAAAAGACAGTGAGTAATACAAAAATTTACATTGATTATGAAAAACTAAACAACAACTTACTCAATGAAAATTGGATTACAGTATATAACGAGCCTAATATCGAAAATGAATTTGTTCTTTTTATACCTAGCATTGAGCGCCATATTGGTGAATGCACCAAAACAGTGAATATTCCACGAACACAAATAAAAAGACAAACATGGATATCAAAAGGGATTATTACCTCCATCAACAACAAAAAAATAGAATTATATAAGGAAACCAAAAAATGTCCTTATGATTTGAATATTTTGAATGAATTTAAATCATATCGAAACAGACTGACAAAAATAATTAAAGAAGCTGAAATTAAATATCTCTAAGAAGAGTTTGATAATCTACAAAAAATGTTGTCCAAAATATGTCAATTTATCAATAAAATACAAGACAAAAGACAAAACAACAAAATTGGCACAATTAAAAAAGAAAATGTTGAACTAGTGAATAAATATGTAGATATAGCAAATTAATTTTGTGAATATTTTTAGAAAATCGGGAAGAGGTCAGAAAACATAAAAAAGGCGGAAAAATTAAATTATAGTAAGACCAGGCCGATACGCATGAAATAAAGGCAATCATCATTGAATCAAAATTAAGAAAATCTCCAGCCCTAGATAATATAAAACAGCATATGCTCTGAAGAGGATAAATTGCAACATCTGCGGCATACTGTCATATTTGATAAATTCTTGTATGAATAAAGGAATACTCCCTACATGTTTAAAGCACGCTATGGTAAAACCAATAATTAAATCTGGAGAAAGAGAATGACCCATCAACTATCGACCAATTTACATCTTAACCAATTTTTCTAAAATATTTGAAAAAGTGTTAAAAAACGATTTATCGAATTTGCAAAAAAATATAACTTAATAGCGGAACAGCAATATGGTTTTCAAGAAGGCAAATCTACTCAAGATGCTATTCTAGAATTAACAAGCAAAATATATCAGTATCTCGATCTTGACAAACCAACTGCATGTGTTTTTGTTGACTTGGCAGAGGCATTCGACTCTATTACTCATGAATCGCTTTTAACAACTTTAGAAAACTAAGATTTCCGTGGCATAACCAAAATCGAAAATGATTTCAAAACATTTATAATTTTTTTTCGTAAAGAACTATGACAATATTTTCTTGCAGCGATAGGCTCTCACCACAATTTAAGAAAGTTGAATTTCATACAAGCAGTGGTCTCAAAGAGATTCAGTCAGCCGATAAAATAAAATACCTAGGCGTGATTTTGGACAAACACTTAAAATGGAACACCCATATAGAGTACCTTGTGAAGAGACTGAGGTATATTATTCCATAATTCAGGTACTTCAGAGATATTCTGGATGAAAAATATCTATATAAACTTATGCTCTTGTTTATCTCTATTACTTTACGGAATTTTGGCTTGGGGGGAGTTATAAATAATAATTACAAAAAGGCTGATGTAATCCAAAAATTAATTCTAAAATTGATCCTTTATAGGGAGATTACTTATTCAAGTCAGTCTCAATTAGATTGCAGGCAAATTTATTTTTATTGTGGTCTAATACATTAGGTATTTTAAATATTCGAAATACTTGAAGCGTAGCATTCATAACTACCGAACAAGATTCAATCAAAATTCAATGTGTATATTGCACAAACATCAAAAACCATTACACAACGATCTCTGTTTTTCTTGGGACCAAAATTTTATAACTTCAACATCAAAAAGAATTAAAAAAAATGGATTTTACAACAACCAAGATGCTCCATCCACGACATTGTAGATATGAAAAATCATCATCAAAATCAGTAATATTTTACTTACACTAACATCCATAGTATTACTTTAGTTATAATTGTCTGGATATTTTCCCTGACATCCCGATAATAATTCAATTCTCCAAATTTACGTGTTTTTTTAAACACTGTACTTTTTTTTATTTTTAACAATTCCAAACACAAGTGCAAACTTTTTTCGATGTTTTATGTTTATTGTGCACAATATTTAATACTTACCTGTATTTTGTGACAATAAGCATTATTATTATTATTATTATTATTATTATTATTATTACTATTATTATTATTTTTATTATATAAATACTGGGTTTGTCCGGAAAGTAATAGGACTCATGACTGTACTTCGGAGCGTGCGCGCACCGACTGGATTCGGTAGAGGGCATTCCTAGCTAACGAATGAGCGGCTGGTCAGTTGTCTCCGAGCACTTGGAGAGTCAGGACAGGCATTTTCGCGCGACGTGTTTCTGTGAGTGGTGCAAGCCGAAAATGCAGCGTTCGTTAGAGCAGAGGTACGCGATTAAATTCTGTGTAAAACTCGGTAAATCTGCGGCAGAAACGTTTGATATGATCAAGCAGGCTTACCCAGGTGTTGCTTTGGCAAGAAGTGGTGTGTTTCGGTGGCACCAGACCTTTTTGGAGGGCCGGGAAGAGGTCGCTGATGGAGACCGTGCTGGAAGACCTTCGACTTCAACAAACACCGATAATGTGACTCGTGTGCGCAAAGTTTTGAACTCAGACCGTCGACTAAGTATTCGTTTAATTGCCCAGATGTTAAATTTACCAAAATCTGTGGTTCATGACATTGTGACACAGCATTTGAATATGCGCAAGGTGTGCGCGAAGATGTTCCCAAAAGTGCTCACTGGCGACCAGAAATTGCGGCGAGTGGAAGTGTGCCAAGAAAATTTGAACATGTGTGAACGTGACCCCCAATTTTTGAATAACGTAATCACAGGTGACGAGTCGTGGATCTTTGAGTTTGATCCCGAGACAAAGAGGCAATCCTCCAAGTGGCACACGACGGCGTCTTCTCGTCCAAAAAAGGGAAGAATGAGCAAATCCAAAGTGAAAACGATCCTCATTGTCTTTTTTGACATCAAAGGCATCGTCCACCATGAATTTGGACAAACCGTCAACGCCAAGTTTTACGTGGAAGTGCTCAGGAGACTCAAACGAAGGGTCAGTCGGGTCCGACAAGACATCGCAACCGACTGGAAGTTGCACCACGACAACGCCCCGGCTCACACCGCCTTTCTTGTGAACAGCTATCTCACCAAGGCCGGCATCCCAACGCTTCCGCAGCCGCCCTACAGTCCAGATGTGGCACCCCCGGACTTTTTTTTGTTTCCTCACCTGAAAAGGCCGATGAAAGGCAAGCATTTGGAGACGACAAAGGGGATCCAAGCAGCATGCACCCCAGCTCTCAAGGCTATTCCGAAGAATGCCTCCCGTGACGCCTTCAATGCTTGGAAATCGCGCTAGCAGCGCTGCATCGAAGCAGAAGGAGCCTATTTTGAAAGTTTTTAAAGAAATTTAACGATTGGCTCAATAATTTTTTTTAAATCGACTCAGTCCTATTACTTTCCGGACAAACCCTGTATATACATGTATATATTATTGGCTTCTAGATGTATAGATGTTGAAGCGGACGCTAAGGATTTTTCTTCCTATATATGAAATCAGTTTTACAATAAGTAGTCACGAGAAGTTAGATGTGTAGCACCTCAAAATAAGCAAAATACACAACAGAGAAACCGAATTATGTATAACGTACCTGCGATGCACACTACCACGGCAAGGCTCAACAAGACTTTGAACGCCATTGTTGTGTAGGTATTTTCTGTGACTACACAAACTTAATAAGGGGCTGTATGTATTAAGTAGAGCTTTTATATACTATATCAGTGATTGGCATATATGTGTCTGGTTGTCTTCTGACTTGCATAAAAACTACTGATAAAAATCTCGAGTGGCTTACATGGCGGAAAATTGAACCATACGATACTGTATCTTTTAAAAATCTTATCTTAAGTGGATATTTAACAATATGTCGGTAGCTATAGCGATATTGTCAGCCTAAAATAGCAAGTTATTAGAAAACATCTCCTAACCATGACTTCGAGTATTTTCAAATCTTAAGAACTCAAAGGGTCTACACAATTACTATAGTCCAATTTTTCATTTCAAAGCCAATGTCAGTCTATTAGGAACGCAGAATTTAGCTTAATGACATTTTTTTTAAGATCCTAATCCATCCCATAGTTGCACAGCACACATGCCAGATGAAGTAACATCTGAAACGTATCCTGTCGCTTTAAAGTACTGTGAAAATGAAAAGAAAAAACAAACGAAGTGTCACCGGGAAGATAGAAAAGTATCAATTGTATTTGAAGAAGGTCATTGTTAGGACTGACAAACATGGGGAATTAATACATATCGGCGTGTAAGTGAACGTGTTAATTCAATAGAGCATCGCTGAAGGAAAAGTTAGAGGCTCCTCTTCTGTTGTGTTGTTTGTGTGTTTTTGACTCATGAGACCAATATGTATGTAGAAGCTAGGCCAATAGGCAGTGACATAGCATAGTATTAGATCAATGGGGCATCAGTCTCTGATACAATGTGCAACTATAATGGATCACGCCGACCGGTTGTCGAGAGAAGCTCTCTTTCTCTCGACACCGGCCACATTTCTACAAGTAATAGCATTTTTGCGTGAGAAATGTAGGGTTAACATAATTGACGGCATTTTTTTTAACTGAGGGAATGATGGAGCTACAGTAAGTATTGCTTATATTGCGTTTCTTACGACACGATGACTACAAAAAGCACACAAATACAACCGGTGATGGCCGAAGAAGCTGAGTTTGCAAAATATATGTTATATAAAAGCTACTTGGCTTATCGTGTGGTTTTTTGTGGGAAAAGGCACCTAAAATTTTAACTAGAATCCACTAAAGAAAAAGTCAAGTTACTAAGAATGTGAAAATCGCTTTATTTTAAATGAACTCAACGCAGTATTGAGAACTTCGAAAATGGAAGTGTATAATGTTTATTGGAGCAACTATGATATAGTTGTAGTCACCGTCATATGAAATAAGTAAACAGATCGAGTCTCGGTCCCATGGGCGGAACACTGCGCAGACTAATCTTCAGCGCATCTGCTACTCTCTCCAGTACGCATGAAGTGGGCAACAAGGGACCTCTGTCTTTATTCTCTTCCTGGAAATACTCTAATAACTTCAGCACGAGCTGTCGGCCTTCTCCATTGAGTATATTTCTGGGCATTGTACAATTATATATTGAAGACCGATAATCGGACAACTCATATTGCACGTCGATGTCAAGTAAGTTGTCACTTGACAAATATGATTGGAGGGCGCTCATACGTAACGACAAAGTTTTGGAGGCGGAGACACACAACTAAAAAAGTATGTCTTTAAGCTTACCGAACAAACGTTCACACACAGGGGTGGGTTGCATGTGTATGTATGAGGTAGATGGAGATAGATGAAGGGATACTGGTAGTCTGACCCGCCAAGAACGGTGACTACAACTGTACATTTTATTACCCTCTCAATAGTGTATGTCTGCCTTCTCTATATATTGAGCAACATTTGTATGTCTGGGGTGCATGATAATTTTCACACATTCTATAAACAAGGATAATTTTTTGTCAGACTGGCACGTTGTCAAAAGTCTCCAGAGTACCTGGGCGAAAAAATGTTCAATGATCTACCTATAAATAAATTTAAAGTTAAGTTAAAAAGCATTTTGATCCCTGGAGCGTTGTAGAGTATCGATCAATCAAACGTTTTAAACATCATTATAATATTTGAATTATAAATTTTGTCAGATTGAAATCCATTAAAAATAAGATCATAGGTCCTTTCTGTCTGAGCAAGAAGAACTTGCTGGACACCTCCTGTGAACATTTATAAAAGGAATGTTTGTTAGGTTTCCATATTTTTATTAGGTATTTGCTCCATTCATATGGAAAGATATTTTAATCATTCTTTTTTTGTTTTTTGTGGTTTAAAAATAAATACAAAAAGCCATCAATAAACACACAATTTATTCAAACGACAGAATCGTCCGTCAAAAAAGTTGTCGTCAAGTAGGTTGACTATGCACTTCCCACGTAAAGCCGCTATCGGTTCATAAAATATTATGTTCAGCAGAAACTAGACTTTCTGAGAAATAAGTCAGTCAAACAGGTCCACACAATTAGACTACAAACATTCTTTCCCTGACCTATGAGTAGTTCATCTGGCAACGTCGCCTCCTCCTATACCAGAAGACTTACCAGGACCCGCACGCTGCCGGAAGCAGAAGCAGACGCGGCAGTTAGGTACGCGATTCGTCTGCTGAGATTATCATAATATTATTTGTATTAAGCTTTAAGTGCTAATGTACGGGGAAATCTGTGATGTGTGAAGTATGTCTAATTACCAAGTTTGGGAGCGTAGAAATATACTAACATCAAAATTAATATATATCCTTCCCACCCCCCTCCAACCTACATCCCCAAATGTTTTACCTCTAAAATTATTATCAAAAATGATCAGGATTCTCCGAAATGTCGAAAAACGAAGTAGGCTTGGGAAGTAAAAGCATCGAAAACAAAAAAACAATGCAAAAAGCCAAATGCCAAATAGCTCGGTCAGGCTCTGTACAACATGAGCTGTGAACTTGTGTGTGAGCCATTTACCAAAATCCGATCTGTAAGTATCTTTTCCCACGTAGCTAATGAATTTATACTTCTTCCCCAAATAATCTATCACGCTGGGATTTAAGGGGCAAGGAACTCCACTTACTGGCACAAAAAGGGTGTTGATTCTTTTTTGTTAGACTGACAACTGATAAATTGCCCGTATGTAATAAATAGGAGATGGTTTTTGTACTTCCCACGTATCAGAAGGTCATCAACTCTAGAAGTATCTATGAATTGAAACATTAACGACTATGCATTTCGTGAGACGAAGACTCCGAGGTTATACTTGGATCTGAGCTTAAAGAGTGTAACTAGAATCTCAACCGTTTTTATCATTTGTTCTTGAAACAATGGTCTGAATTCTGGAAAAGATTAAGGTTAATGAATCATGCCAACATTTGTCAACAAACAGTTAACAGTTTATTTTTGGCAATAAGAGATTCGTGGAAATCTTACTGAAATCAATTCTACTGCCTCCCCCAAGGTCACTGGTTTCTTGTTATTGGCTTAGGAAAAATATGATGGTTTTCTTTCATCAACTGGTGGGGTGTCATAATGGGAATGTTGCACGCACCACTCTTTGCGGTGACTAGGGGGTCATACCTCAGTAAATAAACCCAACCTCATGAGGTAAAGCTGGTTAAAAACACTTCCTGTAGCTGACGAACCACTCGGTATCACCACTAGGTGTGACATTTTATCATACTGAGGGAAGCTTCGTCAGTGGGAACAGCATCAGATTCCATCGATTTCAACGCTTTAGCAACATCGCCATAGAAAACTGTAATTATGCAGTGATGCTGTTTATAAACACTAATAGAATAATCATTGATTGCTTCTGTATCTTTAAAGTGTTCAGGTAGCTGCATTTCACCAAATTTCTGAATATTTAGTTTTTTAAGAGTTTTCCAAAAATTGGGTTGGTTTTTTGTCGATATGCGGTTTCCAGGTACGCTTGCTTTTCTCTTCTGAGTGCAGCCAAAGCGAAGCTTCTCAATTATTTGTAGTGGTTATATTTTCCTTCAATTCGATGTCGCTTAAACTCTACTAAAGCAGCATCATCTAAATTCAAAATTATCTTAACTACACCCGTAAGCCAAGGACAATGCGGCTTACTCACTCTATTTTTTTTTACAGGAGCACGTTTTCTAAGTAGTGATTTGTTGTATTCAGTACCTGTATCAATTAAGAGAATCTTTTTCAGATAACGGATCATGCTCGCGGGGGAAAATCGCAACGTTTCACTTGGGCTAGTCCGTCCTTGGCGAACTTGAGTGAGTTAATTGTTTTCTATTAACACCATTACCTATGGCTTTAACTAGTTACTACACTGTGAAGATGGCACTCATCTTAGATGACCATCATTACTTGAACACCGTATGCGAATAAAACCTTTTTCTGCTACGACAGCACTGCCTCAACTTCAATATCTTGGTCGATCGGGAAATAGTAAAGGATCAGCTAACTAGAGCGCGTTATGCCATGTGCTAAGCGTGGGTTATCGCCTTCGAAGACGTGGTACCCGCAGACATTTAATTGAGAAGGTAAGTTAATTTTTTTATACTCTAACTACCACGAAGGCCTAAGGCCTAAACACCCACGGGGTACCGTGGGGCTATAGGGGGATACAGGGGAAGGGAGGAACGCCACACGGACTCTGGCGAGGGAACACGTGTGCATGCAACATGCACACATTCTGGCCCCGCCTATGAGATCCGCCAGGTGGTACCTCTGCGTTCGACAGTCAGGGACCGTCTACCACCTACGGACAATCATAACATCCATAGCCAAGAGAAAAATTTCTCTTGGGACGGGATTCGAACCCGCACAGCGCACGGCGACTGATCAGGAGACCGAAGAGTCTACCACTGCGGCCACCGCTGCTGCTTGAAGCATTACATGCTTAGAATGGCCGTCATTTCCTGAACACAATATGTGTAATGAATCTTTTTGTGCTACGCCACCACTGCCTCAATTTCAATAGCATGGTCCACCGGGAAATAATAAAAGTCCAGCCCACTAGACCGCGCCATGACCGTATTACTAGAGAGGTTGTCCGTCCAGTGATATTGAAGTTACACAAAGGGCTGTCCGCTGCGGTTATCGGAATGTCAACCCCATCACGCGACCTTTCGTTATCAAAATCATATGTCATTGGGGTGGAGTTTGAGTGTAGCGTTGGCCTGCTTATCTGAATAGGGCAGGCAAGCGTAGCGAAATGATGTATTCATTTTGTTTTATGAGACGATACATTTTCTTCTTTCAAGTTATATTTTGTGGTGAGTAACACGACCTAGTCATAGTACCTTAGTGCAGGTACTTGTGATTATCTGATATTAGACAGTTCTCAGAATGTTTGTGAACTCAGATATATGGCCTAAATTAATGTTGAACAATTTAATGGTAATCGTGACCATGACTTTCAAGGTCATTTAAGATGTCAACAAATTTTAAATGGAACCGCATCTTTTTGACCCCACCGATAAAAAAGTAAACAACTTTACGTTTGGATATGACCTTGACAATGACCTTCAAGGTGAATTAGACGTCAACATTTTATAACAAGGTATCGTAGGGGCTTGAAAGCTTACTAAGCCACAGATACGTATACAAAGTTTGTTTACGGCCGACTAATTTTTGAAATTGAAATTAACTTTTAAGCAGACTTACAATTAGCTTGACCATTCTATTGTATCAACGATAGCTGCGTCGTCGGAATGACTGGATAAGGACATTTTTAGTAGCCATGTCATCTAAGATGAGTGCCATCTTCACAGTGTAGTAACTAGTTAAAGCCATAATGGTGTTAATAGAAAACAATTAACTCACTCAAGTTCGCCAAGGACGGACTAGCCCGAGTGAAACGTTGCGATTTTCCCCCGCGAGCATGATCCGTTATCTGAAAAAGATTCTCTTAATTGATACAGGTACTGAATACATCAAATCACTTTTTAGAAAACGTGCTCCTGTAAAAAAAATAGAGTGAGTAAGCCGCATTGTCCTTGGCTTACAGATGTAGTTAAGATAATTTTGAATTTACATGATGCTGCTTTAGTAGAGTTTAAGCGACATCGAATTGAAGGAAAATATAACCATTACAAATAATTGAGAAGCTTCGCTTTGGCTGCACTCAGAAGAGAAAAGCAAGCGTACCTGGAAACCGCATATCGACAAAAAACCAACCCAATTTTTGGAAAACTCTTAAAAAACTAAATATTCAGAAATTTGGTGAAATGCAGCTACCTGAACACTTTAAAGATACAGAAGCAATCAATGATTATTCTATTAGTGTTTATAAACAGCATCACTGCATAATTACAGTTTTCTATGGCGATGTTGCTAAAGCGTTGAAATCGATGGAATCTGATGCTGTTCCCACTGACGAAGCTTCCCTCAGTATGATAAAATGTCTATGCCAACTATACTACCTTACATTACTCACATTATTAATTGTTGTTTTGAGTATGGTTACTTCCCTAAACAATGGAATGAAGCAATAATTGTACCTGTACGTAAAAACTCTTGTTTCTTAACTGCTAGAGAAAATAGTCAAATACCAATTATGCCACTACTGTAATGAACAATCAATAATTCCACCACACCAATCTGGCTTTCGCGCTGGTCACAGTACCGCAACATCCTTACCTGGCATCACTGATGATATAGTCAGAGCATTGGATAGAAAAACTGCGACAGTACAGATTTCTCTCGAGTTTTCCAAAGCTTTTGATACCATTGATCATGGATTGGTTTTGCCAAGCACCAGTATTATGGCCTCCATGGCAGACCTTTGAATTTTTTCAATCGTTTTCAAAAAAAGTCAAAATTGGGAGTGATGTATCTGAACGTTAACAATTGTTTCAGGAGGTCCACAGGGCTCAATTCTAGGGCCGCTTCTATTCATAATTTGCACTGCCGATTTTCAGACTGCTTTGTCACACTGTTTTATTGCTGCTTACGCAGATGATACCCAGTTGATTCGCCAAGTTAATCCGGAAAACTTATCATCTACAATAAATTTAATGAATGAAGATATAGAGAGTGTTGTCAGATATGCTTCTAACTACGACCTGTCATTAAGTCCCAGTAAGAGAAGCCATTGACTAAATGTCACCCAAATAAAGCCGGAATTATTATTGTTATTATTATTATTATTATTATTTAAATAAATCAACCTGTTTTTTTTTTTGAAAACAATGTTATTTCAATACTGGTCCTATCGAGTTACACTTCAGCCCATACTCAAAAAGATATACCAGAGGCTTGATTAATTGATATACACATTTTTATATTCCACGTTTCTATGGTCGCTGGTGGCGAATTATTTCAAAAGTGCTAGTTTTTCTTTTCGAAAGGCGAAACCGATGTTTCAGAATCGATATCGTAATCAAAATCGCAACATTGAATTAGGGCTATAATTTTCAAAAAGGTTCACTTTCGTGAAACCACACAGACTTTTTTATGGGGCTATTTAAAGCAAAAGGTGTAAGAAACTGAACCTGCTTCAATATTGGATATACGGCTGAGAATAACAAAGATTTGTAGAAATATCGATGTTACTATGTTTGAACATGTTCGACGCGAAATTACGGACCGACTGTTATTGTGTCAAGAAGTTCAAGGCAATGTTTTCAGGTAATTATTAAATGTATCACCATTTTGTAGTAGGTAAAGGTATTGACTTTATATTCTAGGATTATAAAGTACTCGTCAGGAGCTAAAAAAAGATGCGCCACAAACACACGTTTTCATAAAAAAAAATCTCCAAGGCGCCCATCGGCCATCTTGACATTTTCATCTGTCAATTTTACTCTAAACAATGTTATCCACGCATCAATTTCATTACCTCAAGTTTTACTTTTTTGAAATGATCTGTTCAAAAAATCAAAGAAAAAATTAAAAAAAATTAAAGAAAAGCACTGTATAAAATCGCCGTATGCCGTTGAAGAAACCAATTTTTACACCACCATCTACGTATCTTTTTTCCTTTTACTTTTAGTATGCAAGAGCCGCTAAAACTAGATTTTCATCGGCCATGTTTCAAATTAAAACTCATACTGCAAGATCATTACATGTGTGACCTTATCCAATTTTCGACAAAGTCGTACAGCAATCGCATTCGACCAAATCGTACTGCGGCGTTGGATCATGAATGGCGTGCTTAAGACCAATCTGCCAATACAACGTATTTCTTTTCTACCCAATTCGATGAGAAATGTTTATGACGGACTGTACGAGCAAAAACAGCATGCATCGCCACGACAACTGATCCGAATAATTAATGAGCATAGCATATGAGCAAGAATACGCATTCTATCCTTGAGTTAGTCTAAGGTTCTATTAACACATAGGCTTATCTTTATAGCGGTACGTTCGTTTCATTTCCTTCATAGTTCTATATGTTAGCTTAATATATTCAATCGGTATAACTAATAATCTAATTCTAAATATAGATCCAGTAATCAGAAACAAGCTGGGACTTCCAAAACGGATTCCTTTAACAGCTGCACTAGCTAGTTTGAGGATAAGAATCATCCACAGAAAACGCACGATCGCTTTCTTCCAGTTCATCATGGGCATGCAAATGCTAAGACATGAAGAGCATGATGAAAAGGAAGACCTGCTTGTAGGTGATAAGTACGTAAATATACAGTATATTGTTATTGATACAACTCAAGTGTCATAGAGACTGTAAATGGCAACAATGATTCAACATATGATCCGAACTCCTGACTACACCGAGCCAGTGTTTTGATTTACACTGTTTATGATGCTTAACTTGTATAGTATTTATAGTAGCTCACTGTAAACGAGCCAAAATTGCGATGGTCAAATTATTTGGTACTTATAGGTACATTTAACGTAAGTTTTGAAAATTAGTAATTGTCAAAAATTTTCACTTTGCTCCTTCGGATGTATTCCTAGTTGTGGTACCCAAAAATATCTTTTTTTTTGCAAATAACTCCCATACGATTATTTTGCTCATTGTGGCAAGTAAAGGAAATTTCATATGTATGAATCTTCTTTACATATGGGAAAAGTTTGCAGAAAGCTGATAACCCAGGTAGTTGAAGTAGAAAAATTATTTCATAAAGTATGTTTTATCTTCTGCTTAGTTGAGCGCGCGTATTAAATCGAATAGAATAAGAACGAAATTAGTCGATCTAAAATTCAACTTCCTAAACAACAACAGGTACACAGGACGGTGGAGCAAGACCGTGATGTCATACGATGACAACTTCTTTGCCCTAGAGTTGATATATTACTACGATACGAAGTCGTTCAAGAATGGTAATTGTTTTACGTGCGTTGTCGTTCAGAATAACGAAGCCTTGTTTCGAGCGAAACAATTTGATTGGCCTATCAAAAACGAAAATCGGCTAATTGCCCCAGGAGGCTATATATTTCAAATTGTAGATAGACCGATACCGAAAGATAAAGGTATAGTATAAAGGGATATCCACACTCGGCGCTTTCCCTTTCATCTTCCACATGATGCACGCAGAGTAAACGTGAGGCATAGAATTTGATGTCTACAGCACCGTCGTGACCTTCATAGACGAAAAATCGTACGGAACGTTCTGCACAGAGTTGTATATATGTTACGGCTAAAATCCGGAATACGGTGACAACTAGGTTTAGCCGGTAGAACTAAGTATAGCCACTGGCAGTTGGTTAGTCTTTGGTGTAACCTATACATTCGTGGTCAAACCTGGTATTAACCGGTTGCATTTGGATAAAACTAGGTCCAAAAAACTTTATCCCAGCTACACCTAGTTCTAGCCAGTCCTTAGTGATTAAAACAAGATGTAAGCGTCACAAACAGGTTCTGACAGTTAGCGCGGTAGCGGCCCGTCAACTCTCGTTCATTCACTGTGGGCGGGAGCTCTGCTTAGTATCACTCGTAACACCACGTCCCTGAAGTTAGCTTCAGATTCAGATTCGAATATGGTGAGATTACAATCGACCAGTTCCGTAGTGAGCTCAAATCGCCGATATGCTAGAAAACTGGTATTTTCAGCTTCTGAGGGAAAGCTCTGCCATAGAGATGTACTCTTATAAGGTCTCTTCAGCATATATGAGTTTGTTGGTGGTACAATTGTTCGTTTGGGTCCTACGATTTTTTTCTGTTTTCAGGAGTTAACCCTTGTATGTGCAGAATCAACATGTAGTCCCCTGTTTTTTAGCAAAGCTATACCGTAAAGTTGTACTCCTATGAAATTGTCAAAAATGGTCTGAAGGAATCATGGAGTCAAAAGATCGCCATAACAAGCAATGTTTGGTTGTGATGTTAAAGTCGGCTTAAGGTCATCAGTTCTGCCTCTCGAAGCAATCGAAAAGATCGAGAAAGAGGAGCATCTGAAAAATAACAGTAGCGAGGGAACGAAGGCAGAAATCGAATCCTAAATGGATTACGGAAAAGGGAGGTGAAAAGTGTGACTTGTGACTATAGGCTAATAAAATGACAGCTTCATCAAATTTGCTCGTTGCAAGGTAGGTGATACCATCCGTGTCAAAATTCCTGACGTTGATAGAGGTAGAGGAAACTTCAAAGATGTTTTAATGGTGGTACTTGAATGTATTGAGGATGGTTTATATAAGTTAGGCAACCAGTTTGGCACTGTGTCCGATTTATTTTTTAGGAATCATTTCAGCATGTGCGAATCAAAACTTTTAGACCTTGAAAATGTTTCGCCCGAAAACAAATCACTGCACCAAATAGCCAATGCTCAATCTTCAACTGGTGGAAAAGGCTATATAAGATCATAAGATGCCACTACAAAACCAAGTCTGGAAGTAGAAAGTGTATATGTAACTCTAAATTTCAAATAAGTAGACCAATCGACCCAGTTTTTTTCATATCATTGGGACCTACTTTTTTTATTACTTGGTGTAACGGATGTTTCAATAATTTGTGTTAATTAAATTGTTATCCCCGCACGAAATATTTAAAAATTGTAAAGTTCAGTTACTGTTACGGAAAAAATGTTGAAACTGTTATATTGTTTATACCCGCATGAAATATTTGAAATTGTAAAGTTCAGTTACAGTCACCACAAAAAATTATGTTTAAACTGTTACACGGTTATACCCACTTGAAATATTTTAAAATTGTAAAGTTCAGTTACAATTAAATAACAAATAAAAATTATGTTTTTAATTGTTATACCCACAGCAAGTATTTTGAAATTTTAAAGTTTAGTTACAGTTAAAAAAATGTTTAAATTATAAAGTTCAGTTACAGCTATAAGTTTTTTTATTATCGCGGTTACTTTACCTGTGAAAATAATGACAAGGTATGGCTAAGTTATGTTTAAGAAATTTATTTCTGAAATAAATAATATGGAAACGATGACATTATATTATCTTTCAAAATACCCGTCTAAGCCTGTTTGTAACGTTTACATCTAATTTTAACCACTAAAGATTGGCTAGACCTAGGTGTAGCCAGGATCAAGTTGGTTGGACCTAGTGAACCGAATGCAACCGACTAATACTAGGTTTGGCCATGAAAGTATAGGTTACACCTAAGACTAACCAACTGCCAATATCTACACCTAGTTCTAACCGGCTAAACCTATTTGTCACCGCATTTAGAGTTTTAGCCGTAACATATATATACATACAAAAATTCCTTATTTTTTTCTCTCTTACTTGTGCAACTGATGATAATAACCATCATGTATTTTGGTGTATTATGCCCACGGATAACGATCCCCCTGATGGAGGATTAACAAACCAGGACTTCTCTCCCACTGGGGAAGGTAGCAATAATGAAGTAGAAAATCGTCAAGAAGACATCCTTAACACAAGGATTGCAACTCACACTACGACAGATAAGTGCAACGTTTTCAGTTTACAAAAACCTGAGCAATATTCAGATTCGATCTATGTATTTGTTGAGAAAATAATTACTCAAAATATTGGTACGCTCCCTAATGGTCATAGGCCACATACTACATAAAAACTCAACATTCCAAACATTGTCAATAGAGAAAATAGAAATAGAATCAGGGTTCAGCTAAAAAGTTTAAAGGACGCGCATCGATTAGTTACTAACCAGTCATTAAAAAATTAAAATTTAAGAGCATTTGCTTCCAGTAATCTACATTTTAGGAAAGCAGTTGATACCAGTTTTGACAAGAGACACTTATTTGAAAAATTTGTGTCTCCTGTAACTATCATTGAGGTACAAAGGTTAAAACATAAGATAGAAATTGACGGGCAGGTCGCCTATGTTCCCAAGCAGCCTATCATAGTGACCTTTGAAGGCAATATTTTATCTTCCTACATTTCTTTAAGCCCGGCCTCTCCAACTCGGGCACTTGGTGCTGGTGCGCTCCGGTGCCATTCCCCCTCCACCTCGCCTGCACAGCCGTCGCGACAGAGACAAACATATTAGCCGACTGTCTCTTGGGCGCGGGCCATTTCTTAATAGGACAAGACAAAGTGTCTTAACGTGCATCTTTTTTTAAACGATGTCAATCAATCCTGCATGAAAGAAGCCTATTTTTTGTAAATACTGATGGAAAAGCAAAATGTTTAATTTGTCACACGGTATTGAGGCCAGCCCTTCTAAGTTCTGAAGAGGTAATTATTAATTTGGTCGTAGTTGATTATTATTAATGGTGTTGTAATGCAAGTTATATTGTTGCTTTGAAAATCGCAAAAAGTGCAACTTTGAGACAATTAGTATGTCCGAGCAAACAATTTCTCGTCGGTTACTTGAACTTGGTGCAGATTTAAAAGAACAACTGCGGAAAATGTGCCCATTTTGTGCAGTATTCTATAGTTCTCGATGAAAGTAAAGACATTTCTAACAGCATAATTACCTGTTTTCGTTAGAGGTGTCGAAATAGTCTTTACTGTCACCGACGAACTACTAGAAGTTATCCCGCTCAAAGATACAATGGCCAGAGAAGATATTTTTGATGCTGTAGAATACACAATGAATGACATGGGTATACTACTCAAAAGTTTGCGTAGTGTTGTTACTGATGGAGCGCCAGCAATGTTATCGGAAGCACAAGGTTTTACTGGGCGAATGAAAATAAAAGTACGCGACGCTGGGCTACCTCCGATATCATCGATACGCTGCATATTACATCAGGAACAACTATGTACAAAAACCTTCCGTAATTTCAAATCTATTATGGATGTAGTAATAATATGTGTCAATTTCTACAGAAAGCAAGGCCTCAACCACGGCAGTTTGAAGTATTTTTAAAACACCTGGAAGCAACTTACGGTGACATACCCTTTTATTGTGTTAAGCTGCGCAAAAGTGCTAAAGATTTTTTTTAAATCATTGACGACGTTAAGATGTTTATGCAAATGAGATTTTTACGCCATCTTCAGTGCTTTTCTAAATAGAACCGCCGCAGTTCCAAATGGAGCTGATTAAGCTTCAATGCGCTACGATCCTTAAGGTTAGATACTACCACTACAGTAGTAATTTAATTTCGTTTTCTCAAGGTTTTAAGCAGCAAGATTTTCCCAAAATCCTTGCACTGGCCTTGGAAACTTGCTCCATGTTCGATACACCGTACTTCTGTGAGCAGATGTTTTCTTTAATGAATTTGAACAAAACTAAAAACAGTTTTTTGTCTGATGTGTCCTTTAGAGGCCATACTCAGAATTTCCACTGCTCAAGCCACTGTACCAAATCTTAGAAAACTTGTTCAATCGAAACGCTGTCAAAGATCATCTTAAGAATAAATGTGTTTACGTCGAAATTATGAACATTATTTTATCACCCGCGCATTGACTCGATCAGACCAATTCAAATGTTAATACGAATGTCACTCCACTCATTTTCCGTTGGGGCTGGGAGCCGGCGAAATTAAACCTTATCGCGGATTTGACTAAACTTAGTAATAATATGTAGTTTCAAACTAAATGAACAAAAAGGGCTTGGTATGCCGATGTAAGTACCTGTCATATCGACTTGAAGATACAACGTGACGGTAGGATGTTACCATAACCTATACGTATATCAACGGTCATGACGTTTCATATTCATTTTACTTACATACATACTTTCAAACATCTAGAAGCCTGGTGTCAAACTGACAGACTCAAATGAGCTTTTAAATGCAAGCATGAAGCATACAAACAGGATGTATTATTTTGATCTATTCAGTTTGTCATACCATGTTTTTCCAAATGAGCCTAAAATTTCCATCAAACCTTGTAGGCTTCATTGAATTCGGTGAGGACGGTGAAATTCTCTTGTCACGCTGTATCTTTAAGTCGGTATGTCAGTTACTTCTGGCAGGTTGCGCCCCGTCTTACTGAGCTCTTCTTGTTCATTTACTTAAAAACTACAGATTACTACTAAATTTAGTCGAATCAGCGATAAAGGTATACTTAATATATATATATATATATATATACAGGGTGACTTTGAAGTTGAATCATTAATTTTCAGATAATGATTGTAGAAGGAAGATAAACCAAAATATGTGTGTAAAAATAAAAAAAAAATAAAAAATTTTTACCTTGTTTTATAAAGTATCCTCCCGACAAGTATTTCAGTGCGGACCTGTATTTGATCGTGAGGTCCCCTGTGAGGTCTTAAGTCACATGATTCACAAGCCCGTTGTACTACATTAACAAAGGCACGAGGGGTTGGTTGCACTCGATTGGGAAACCGATCCGCATAAACATGTGCCATTTTTTATTTCGTTTGAGCCACGCAACACATACCACTATTCACTGACACTAACTGTATACAAATGAATGAGATACCTGTAAAAACATCGTTCCAAATTCTTTCGCTTTTTTGTTTCCGATGCGATGAACCGATACGGCGGATTATATCCATTGTCGCCAAACACGACCACATAATATTGTTATTGAGACAGGGCGGTACTCAAACTTCCAAAGGGCTATAACTTTGTTACTTTAATTTTACCAGGAAAATGGTAAAGGAAAAAAACATTTCTTTTGATCAGATCTACTCACTGTTAAAATAAATGACTCAACTTCAAAGTCACCCTGTATATATATATATATATATATTCAGTGACATTAGGAGTGTTACACCCAGAAAAAATAATTTCAACTTGATTTTTTGGCAATTAGGTTGTCTTACATCAAGAATGAAACCAGAAGATTCTCCCACGAAATTTTGTTGACAAGTAATAAGAAAAAAATTAAATAATGTGTTGGACGATCCCGCAGCTGAATTCATTCCTATCTAGGCATCTACAAAATGAGATGATCGATGTCTGGTTGTGGCATCTTATTCCAAGCAACTTCGTTGATTAGCTGTGGCGGATGGTGCAAAGTGGATAGTCTCCTCCCCATCAAATCCAACACATGTTCGATGGGATTTAAATCTGGTGAACAGGGTGGCCACGGCAAAACATTAATGCCTGCTTCTTGAAGAAGTCCATAGTACGACGAGCAATATGAGGCGTGCGTTGTCTTGCTGAAAAAGGCAGTAAAGTGGTTTGTAGGACTGTTGATGATACCAACATAACGCGCAGCAGCCATATTGCCTTGAACAAAGAGAAGGCAATACGTCCCCAAACCATTACTCCAACAGTTCTGTGTGCATGCCTCTCAACAGCAAATCCAATATCACGCTGTTCTCCACTGCCGCGTCTTACGCTTCTACGAGCATCGTGCGTACCTAGACAGAATCGCGATTCGTCACTGAAGATGTCATTATGCCATTCTGCCTCCCAATGTTGCCGATTTCTGCTCCAGTTCAAATGTTGACGACAGTGGTCTGCAGTCAGAAGAAGCACTAACCGTGGACGGTATGAAAACAGTCCAAAGGCTCAAATGCGGCGATAGAGTGTACGCATAGTAGCAGGTCTACCTTTTTCTCTAAACCATTGTCAGCGTTCTGACGCTCAGTAGCAAAACGATCTCGAAGGGCCAGTTGCCTGAAGCGCCTATCTTGACGCTCTGTGATACGCCTCGGTGGACCAGTTGGCCTTCTTCCTGTTTCTCTACCTTCTTCTATCCACACACGCATTACCGTCATTGCAGTACAATTAACATGGCGGCCAATTTCGCGATAGTCCAAACCAATATCTCGATAGGCAAAAATGCTCCCCTGTCAAAGTCCCTAACATGGTGATAATTTGGACGTCTTCGAACTCGAGGCATTTTTTATGCTTAACACTAGTAAATGAAAGGGCAATACCTAAAAATATTTGTACTACTCAGCTCTCAGAAACTGCCTTCTTCACAAAAATTAAGAGATCACATTTTAACAAAGGTAAGCAGAAACAAAAATAAAACGTTGACATTTTTGCCACAGCATGCTTCAAATCTTCATCATTATGTTGCCAAAAAACAAGTTGAAGATATTATTTTTTTCTGGGTGTAACACTTCTGTCACTGAGTTTACTACAGATATCCACGCAGTTAACCCAGCATACAATCTGAAACAGCATGCTGATGACTTTGTCATTTACCTAGATACTATAGGAGAGAATAGCAATCATGCAAGGAATCTCTATCAAGCGTAACTATGAACTCATTGGGATACAGCCTATCACCACACAAATCAACCGTAGTCTCATTCTCACGACACAACGTCCCTTCAACAGGTGATATAGAAGTCATGGGCTCTCGGTTTCCAATATCAGGAACAGCGGAGTATCTCGGAGTGGTTCTTGACCAAAAACTAACATGGTGCCCATTTATTGACATATAGGCCAGTTAAATAGCCGAAACTGAGACAAAAGTGATAACATAGCCACAAAGTTATTTCCGCTGGCGTAATGGTGTAATAAAGGATTGCGAATATTGTTGTATGAATTTGGTTTTCCGGAAAGCAGCCGTTTTTTGTAAATCAGCGAAAAACCCGAAAAACCTCTTTTTCGCTGAAACGGCTGAGGATATCTGGGATTTTTTTACACGTAAATTTTTCTAATTTTTGGGCCATCAATAAAGGTCTCTACAAATTTTTCGCTAAATTGCTTAGTTTTCGCGCTACAGCTTGCTGATGACTTGTGGTCGAGGGGGTTTGCGGGGACAGAGGCGGCGTACCTGCATACCACCAAGCTGCCGCCACACCGCCTACGCGTTGACGACGCAGACGATCACTTACTATATGGTAGGGGTTATTCAGTGAGTTGAATTTCGAACCCTGAGCTCGCTTGTCAGTTTGGCGTTCACCGACTTTTACGAAAGAACTAATTTTCGAAGTTTATGGGTTTAAGTATGTGGAGTAATTTCTCTTCAATTGCTTGTCGATTGACTGGATAAGTGAGGTAAGTATGTGTACATTTTAGAATTGAAATTAAATATTTTTTTCCGTAATTTCATTGGAGACAAGGAATTAAGGACAAAGCCAACCTAAAATTCGAAAAGTTATCCGCCATGGATTTTTTAACGAGATTTATTTTCATTTTCCAATGTTAGTATAGTATTTTTTAATAATAAGTAGTGCAGTCCAAATTCAGTATATGTTGTCCAAAATTCAGCATGTCTTGAAATTCCATTAGCACTATGTTCTGATATTAATAACAAAAATCAGACAAATTAGACTGACTGGATCGAAAATTGCATTACACTTACTGGATACCGATTCTCACTGAAATTGTTTCTGTTATTCAATAGGAATGAAATGCAGCAAAATAGTAACTGCGCCATTTGCAGTTATCCGTTGGCGCGCGGCAATTGCAGGATCGTGGGGAAGAAAGGAATTAGTACACTGATCACACAGAGCAAACGCGTGGAAGACAAAAAATGGTTGGATTGGGAAAAAAAGGAAAAACTGGACTGCCATGAGAAGTGTAGACTTTCATACTCGGTCAGTGGAACGTATACTCAGCATTTTGCGTTGAATGCACCAAATAACAATGTCGTAGCTGCAAGCGATGAGGTTCCTGATTTCCATTACGCGGATAATTGCTTCATTTGTGGTTTGAGTATAATAAAAGATGCGAAAACAAAAATCTGTACAGTCACACAAAAATAGACTCTTTGGGAATTAGCGTTGTTGAAAGATTAGAGAAGATTTCTTGCTTAATTCGCGTAGAAGGCAGATACCACCGGACATGCATGTCTCATTTCAATGCGTATGGTTTAAAAAAAATATCGATGATCTAAACTGGTCTAGAATCGATTCATTGTTAGAACCTGTGTGGCAAGTTCTTGAAGAAGACAAAAAAGTTATTCATTATTTGTCGAAGTTAGTAGAACTTGTGGATGATGACTCTATAGCAGATCACATTAAAACACGTTACGGTGAGGAAGTTTAGTGCAGTATAATGGGGGGAAAAGATATACGTGTATGCTTCAAAAGTCATCATGTTTTTAATGTGTCAGCAGACCCATCAACTTTCACAGAAGGGCAGATACAAGTTATTTTGCTTCAGGCCTCAAATATAATGCACAGAGAGATTCGTAGCAAGCAATTTGTAAGCGATAAGTACCCACCGTCCAATCAATTTGTAAGCGATCTTTCCTCCGATTATCCACCCCACTTTTCGTTCTTTATTGAGCACTTTCTCCTTATCGCTGACGAAGAGGAAGATAAAAAAGCAAAGTCTGTGAAGCGAGACATGATATCTCAATGCATACTTTCATTCATTCAGCCACGTACGTTTTTGTCCACCCTCCACTTGTCGATTGGGACATTGATTCTGAGTAAAACAGGTTCCAAGTACATTATAAATCTTCTGCATGCATTAGGCGTTTGCACTTCTTACTACAATATTGAATTGTATGAGGCTTCAACAATAGTGAATCCACCCAGATTGATCATCGAAAAACCTTTCGTACAATTTGTATTTGATAATACTGACCACAACGTCAGGACCCTGGACGGACGGGAGACTTTCCATTGTTTAGGCGGAATACAGGTTTACACTCCGGAGCACGAAATCACACAATGTGGAAGTGTCGAAAAACTTACTGAGATGCCTTCCGCAAATATCCTTGCAAAGCAAGAACAAATTCCAATCTTCCCTTACGTCGAGCCGCCAAAACAGAGCTTGAAACTTATAGAATTCATCGATACAAATTTACTGACCATGGTCGACATGCCTCTATTCCCCCGTACTTACTCAACTTATTTGTGGGCTAAATACGTTGATCCTGAGAATGTACCAGCATGGCGAGGTTTCATGGAGATATGTTCGGAAAATGAAAGTTTCCAAAGGTCGGGGGTGCAATGCCAACAATTCATTAACGAAGTTCCATCTAGTCTAACAACCATTTATACATCAATCATGCATGCAAAGAGCGAAACCCGTAAATGTGGTCAAAAAACCACTATCTTAACTTACGACTTGCCGTTGTACATGAAATGTCGCGATATTATAGCGAAGTTAATGTTGCCCGACGTTTTTGTTCGCTTAGGCGGATTCCACATGTTAATGTCTTTTTTGGGAGCAATAGGTATTATCATGGGAGGAAGCGGACTTGAATCTATGTGGGAGCTTGCTTACGCTAGTGAATCCATAAAGAAAATGATGGACGGGCACAATTATTCAAGAGCAGTCCGAGCACACATTTTGACGTTTACAGCTTTAGGAATCGTAATTTGTGATTCAATCGAAGAAAAAGGTGAGATCAAAGGGGTTATCGCATCATTGATGCGTGTCTGGCAGAAAAATCCTCTCAAGCTAGGGGACAGTGACTCTGATAAGGACCTGAAGAAAATGTCTGATTTGTTTTATACAAAGTTGAAGCAATTGAAAAATAACGGCCCAACAGCCAAGTTGTGGGTGCAGTACATTGAATCCGTGCTTATTGTCTTGCGTTTTATTGAAGCAGAACGTCTTGGAAACTGGGACCCTCATCTTGATTGCGTTCGAAGAATGTTGCCATTGTTTCATGCCGCGGGACATTTTCAATATGCAAAAGCAGTTCAGATTTATTTGCAGGATATGGTACTTCTACAGGACATCATGGATCCTCAAGAGTTTCACCAGTTTGCCACGCAGGGTTATTTCACTATCCACAGGTCGGATAAGGCTTGGTCCGGAATCTGGAGTGACATGACAATCGAGCAGACATTGAATAGGTTTTTTGGGACTGACTTGAAACACGGAAGAGGTGTTACGCGGAGTGTCGTGTCTCGATATTTGCTGGGGATGCCTTGCGCCGTGCATGTGATGCAAGCATTGGAAGAGTATTGTAACCTGGAGACGAGAAACAGTGAGCAGCATGTTGATTTGGGCAAAGGACGAAAAGCATGGGACGCAAAGGACATTGCCTCATTCGTTACTTGGTTGAAGGGGCATGAACCATTCAGTCCGCGAGGAATTAATTTCGCTGTCAACTGGAGTTGTTGGTGGTGTGGAAATAAATTGTCATATGGCTTTCGAGCGTGGCACAAGCAATGTGTCATATAGTTGGACGCACTTATGAAAAGGTGTCGCTGTCAAAATTGTACAAGATCAAGAATTTGGACTTTGCACGGACACAATCTCAAAAAGCTATGTCTTCCACTGTCACTGTTGATACCTCTCTATTATTTCAACGTCTGTCTGTGGCTATGCGTGGAAGGAAAGAGTTGAGTAAATCTTGCTTCGACTACGAAATGTCTCCTGTTCCACTTAGTTTGTTCGACGAGAAAGGATCAATGCGAAAGACCGACAAGTCGCAGTTATATAAAATGTTCACTACTACCCTATCTTCACGAGCATTTTTTGAAGATTCTCAGTTTGTTGTAGACGGAGGATGGTTGCTTCACAGCCTCGTCTGGCCTCATAGTAAGACATACCGTGCAATCTTTGATATGTACAAGAAATTTCTTGTTCAGCGGTTTGGTCGGAGCGTCATTATTGTTTTCGACGGATATGAAGATGAACATATAGGTGTCAAATCATACGAGCGAGACCGTAGACAAGAAAGAAATTGTGGCGTGGACGTTGAAATTGAACCAGACAATCTCGTCCCATTGAACCAAAGGACATTTTTGTCCAACGTGAAAAACAAGGCTCAATTTGTTTATCACCTTGGTCAAACTCATGCAACATATGAGGGATTCAGTTTTACCGTGATCCATGCGAAAGAGGATGCGGATGTTGAGATTGTGAGAACAGCTCTGAAGACTCATAACGAATTGTTTCGTCACGGGAAATCACGAGTTATAGTCGTCGGCTCGGATGTTGATCTCTTAATATTACTTATTGGACTCACTCCAACCTCAGAGAGCATGTACTATTACAAGATGGACCAGGGGGGCAAGGCGAACCAATTGTACGATACTCGGGATCACAGACATTTGCAACCATTTCTACTTTTTGCTCATGCCTTTGCGTGCTGCGACACTACTAGCTGCTTTTTTGGGAAAGGGAAGATGAAGCTGGTGAAGTTGATGCTGCAGAACGACAGCATTAGAGCGCTGGCGCTGAAGTTTTACGAGCCGGACTGCTTGGAAGACGAATTGCTGCAATGTGCAGAGACGATTACTCTCGCACTATACAAAGACAAAGAACAGTCTTCTTCTCTCGGGACTTTCAGATACAATTTGTTTTCTACAAACTTAGCAAAGGCAAAAAAGGAAACGCCCTTAGAATGTCTCCCACCAACATCTCCTGCCTTGCTTCAGCACTGTAAACGAGTGTACTATCAAATCCAGGTGTGGCTTCAGCATAGATTAGATCCCTGCTTGTGGGGATGGACAAGACAGGGTAATATTCTCATTCCGATCATGTCTGAAGCAGATCCCGCACCAAAAGAACTGTTACAAGAGGTATGTGTGAAATCAATTTGAAGCAATAAATACAACTTGCTACAACTAATTTTTACTACACTTTTGATCTCATGTACTGTCTGACCGGAATTAAAATAATTTTTGAACAATGTGAGATCCAGTTTCAAGTCAAAATAACAAATTTTTAGACTGATCTATGGAGCACTATAAAAGGCCTGTCATTGATTTCCCTTACAAGACAACTGATATTTAGATTATTTAATAATTCTTATGATAACCTTTTTTCAGGTTTCCTGTGGCTGCCAAGGGCCCTGCAAATCGAAGCGATGTAACTGCCGAAAAGCCGGTCTAAAGTGCACCCCTGCTTGCAAAGTATGCCGCGGAAAATCGTGCAACAACTCAAAGAGATGGACTGCTACAGAACACCATGATAGCGAAACTCCGACTACTACAGATGCATGTGAGAAGGACGGTGGACAAACTACCGTAGAACCCGATAATGATGACTTAACAGAAGATGATGAGACCTCATCAAGCAGCCACGATGCAACGACCGATGACGAGGAAATTATCGAAGGACTTTAATGACTTTGACCTTCAATGATTTATCCTACTTGTAACAGATTGGGGTGGATATAACATTGAACTGTATATACTTTCAATTCCTCTTACATGCTATTGTAGGTTTCATTGGCTCAAGTGAGGATTTTTGTACAACTATATGTGTGAAATGTAAGGTAACAAATGTAAAACAAACATATTTGAACACAAAAATAATTTGTTATACTCTATCAAAATAGAAAATATAAAAAATTGATGCAACTTCCAATTAATGGTTTGTACATAATTTCTTATCTCGACTAAAATATAATGGAGTAATGTTTTTCCACAGCGAGTGTGCAGAGAAGATATCGTCAAATACTCATCACCATCGGCCATTGTCTATTCTTTACATATTTGCGTTGGCGTAGGTCAGACCAACGTATAGACGCGGCTCAAAAACTGCTAAATCTCTTATCATGATCGTAGATCAACTACCGGTGATCAAACTGATTTGCGAGGATAACTATGAAAATAACGTGGGGCCTCGAAAGCGAGTCTTTTGATGACTCAATGGGCTTCTACATCCTGTAATGTATTCTTATCATTGCCACTCATTTATATACACGTTCACACCTTTTTTGCAGCTGTAGGTTTTTTATTGTTGTTCCAATTCTAAATGAAAATATTATACCTCACTTATCCAGTCAATCGGTAAGCGGCTGAAGAAAAATTACTGCATCTTGTACTCTAAACGCAGAAATTTCAAAAATTCATTAATATGCATAAGTCGGTCAACGCCACAACTACAAACGAGCTTATTATTCGAAATCGACTGGCCTATCACTGAGAGAGAAACACTGAGGACGTCGAAATAAAAGAGGATCGTTCCGCTTCAATGGTGCGGCGTCTGGCGACAGGTGTACGCGCGTCCCTTTCCCCGCAAACCCTCTCGCCAACAAGCCATCAGCAAGCTGTAGCGCGAAAACTAAGCAATTTAGCGAAAAATTTGTAGAGACCTTTATTGATGGCCCAAAAATTAGAAAAATGTTCGTGTACAAAAATCCCAGATATCCTCAGCCGTTTCAGCGAAAAAGAGGTTTTTCGCTGTTTTACAAAAAACGGCTGGTTTCCGGAAAACCAAATTCACACAACAATATTCGCAATCCTTTATTACACCATTACGCCAGCGGAAATAACTTTGTGGCTATGTTATCACTTTTGTCTCAGTTTCGGCTATTTAACTGGACTGTAATAGTTTCGAAGTGTAAAAAAGGTCTTAATTTCCTGAAGTTGATTCAACGTACGTGGTGGGAAGCAGATCCTGATACAGCATTAACTTTCTATAGTTCATCGATTATGGGTGTACTTTGTATAGATCTGCCAGTCACAAAGCCTTACAAAAATTGCATACACTACAAAACAATGCATTAAGACTGTGTTTGGGTCCAATGAGGTCCAGTCCAATTGAACCTCTTAGTGTAAAAAGCCTTGAACCACCTCTTCAGTTAATAGACGACTATTGTCAAAAAAACAAGTCATCAAGTCAGAAGTAAAACAAGACCATACAATAAAAAATATATGCACATTAAACACCCAAAAATAAATATTATCAGAAAAAACATCACCCCTTCTGTGTGAGGTATTTAGGAAATCCAGAATGGAGATAGGCAAGTATGTCCAAATTCGAATCACCTCGAAATTCTTTTTTCATTACTCTTTAGAAACACATATTTGTCTTACCAAATTACATCCCTCTGCTGAAGAAAACTGCTGATTCTGTATCCAGCTATATTCACAGCTGAAGCCATTGCTATTCTTAAAGCCTTGGAGTACTTAGATTCCAAAGTAACTATCAAATGGATTATACTATCAAGGGAATTATTATGTCTGACAGTTTGTCAGTCCTGCAAATATCCAACCCAGTCGACATAGATAATCCTTATACTAACCCATACATCGTGAAAATGAAACAATACTTCCACAAACTAAGAGACCAAAACTACAAAATAATCTTAGTATGGGTGAAAGCCCATGTTAGAATTAAACATAATGACATGGTTGAAAGATTAGCCACATCTAGAAAAAACTTGGACTATCTTCTTCATATAGGTGAATATACTCATATGGACAAAAACCAAGTGAGAGCTGATTGAGAAATAATCTGGGAGAAATATAAAAATAGAAGAATGAATAGATATGTATTAATACAACCCAAAATCCCTATATTCGCGTTGTTTAGTGATTACAAATACAACTGAAAAACTGTGACGACACTAATAAGGATCAGATTTGGAGACGCATGTTACCTAGAACATTTACATCGGATTGGCTTACTGGACACTGTATGCACAAGATGTAATGAAGCTGGAAATCTGACCACCTATTTTTCGGCTGCCAGAACACTAGAAATGAATCTCTGGGACTAATGAACAGAATAACGGATTTAAACGTAACGTCATGTACTGATTATGCTTACATAGAAAAGATATCTTGACAGCTTGGCTGAATTGATCCATTCAATCGAAGTAAACCTATGATGTATCCCGCATTTTGGAGGGGGGAGGGCCAAGGAGAGAACTGAGGGCCTGTAAGATTACTTCGAGCCTTGTATTGCAATGCATTGTCTAGCAGCGAGGCATCCAGTATCGTTAATGTGGGTGCCGGGGCACGGGATAAAGGGCAATGAGACGGCAGACGCTCTGGCGAAGACAGTATCAGCCAGCAAGCTCGTTGGTCCTGAGCCAGCTTTAGGGGTGCCCGCGCAAAGAGTTAGGAGGAAAATGAGAAGTGGATTGTAAGACAACACTGTCAGAAATGGATAAATATCTTCAGGCACCTCCGTTTGGCATGGTAACTCATTGTAGGGACCAGCGCTAAGGATGGACGTTTCTGCTTATCTTTGGATAGAGCCCACATAAGGCTACTGGTGGGACTATTGTCTGACCATGTCACGTTAAGGCGCTACCATCACGTGATGGGGGTGGCTCATTATCTCTTGTGTGAGCGCTGCGGGGTAGAGGAAGAGACCGCGTCGCACTTTCTGTGCCGCTGTGAAGCTCTGCGCTACTACAGGCAGACTAAACTGGGGTCCATTACTTTGAACCCCCAAGACCTCAAGGAACTTGAACTCAAGGCTATACTCAACTTCGCTAGAAAAGCGAGGCTAGAGATCTAAGGAATCTAAAGAGGGGCATAAGGGCCCGTTTGAGCGGCCTATGCGCTGGCTCCTTATGAAAGCCGGAATACCTCTGAACTCATGATTCATTCATTCAAATCTATTATCACCTTGCATACTTTTGTTTCTTGCCTATTTAATATATCCCTTCTCTTATCGTGGTCTCTGTGTAAGTGCAACAAGTCGCCCTCACCGAGCCCTGAGGCTGAGGTGTGTTCTCTGTCAAGTTCATTAGCATCAAACTACACTATAACAGTAAAGACGTCCTGCTTGGAAAAAGATGAATTCAAAATTATACCGATGATCCATCATTCATATAATGCCTAGCGCCTGGCTGCATGAACACCTAGTTCTAATGTCAAAAATAAAAATATAATAATAAAAATTTGATGTCTTGAGACACGCAAGATGCATGCGCAAGTTGTACCGCAAGACGCAAGTGAAGATGGACGGGAAAGTATCCAAACTCTCTGTTTTATGTAAATTATTAGCAATAAAACTTCACTGTTAACTATAGTTCAAGTTTAAAATTTAAGTTAGAAGCATTCAGAGTGACAAACTTTACATCTTAAACTAATTAGAACCTAGGTTTGCCCAACTCCTTTAAGCCCGCTACTGACAGTACATGATGCATGCTTGATGCGTCAGTTTCACATGCCAGTTGGAGATTCATGCGTAGATATTCATTTAGTGCATGCATCATTCGTTAGCATTATGTAATGTACTATGAGTAACGGCCTCCATACTTTCAGATCCGATTTCTAAGATTGTTTTGACAAGCACAGATCTACAAAAATCGATCAAATTCTGGTGTGGTTTCCTTGAGATGAACATTATACTGGAAAAAAGATCTGCCGTTACATTAAGTTACGGGACAAATCAGATAAAATTGGAATTTAGATATAAGTGTGAGTACTCAACATTATTGCTTGATACAGAGTGCGGCAGCACAACCTTCTTTTTTAAAATGAGCGCCATTTAGTCGGTTTATGTCGTAGCGGAGGTCGTGGTCTCGATCGAGATGTGGGACTATAAAGTTTTATCTCGGCACAAATCAGTGTATATAGAATTTTGAGCAAGGTGCTTTTGCCGTTGAAGCATACTTTTCGAGCGAATGTTCTGTGATCGTAAACCAGCGCACATTTCTAAATCGCTTTACTATAGCCCCGTTGGCCCCTGTCCCGAACCGGAAATCAATTGTTACGAGGGCCACTACGTTCAGACAAGCTGCAAGCAGGGTTGCCAGACCTATTTCTATAAGTCCCCCAGCCTAAATAACAAATTCCCCCAAAAAGCACATCTTTAAAAAAAATCTCCCAAAACTTTCAAAGATATTTATTATTATTATTATACTTTGCAGGTTGGCTAAGATTGTCTTATGAGTATGGTATTTATGGTAATAACACTAATAACTAATAACAAGTAACATAAATATATATTTTTTTACTATCATAATATACGAGTAGTATGCTACAGCTCCGAGAATGCATTTAAAACTTCTTCCTCCTCCTTTTTGCAATCATACATTCTTTCAGAATTGAAATATTGCAACATATTTTCAGTTGGTTGAAAATCTGTACAACCATTTTTTAAATTGCACAGATACCATCGAACTCTCATGATAGCATCTGTACTATGAATCGCCAAGCGATTTCTAAGTTTGTTTTTTACCACATTTATAATGGAAAAAGCTCTCTCAACTGAAGCATTAGAAAATGGAAGGCTAAGTAACGCAAGAGCTAATGATGAAATATTTTTATATCTAGGTTCCCCTGCTGCATCGACGTTATTTGCCACCTCAACCCAAAACTTTTCTGTATCATGCAGGTTTATCCAATTTATTCGAGGAAGTGATTTCCATTCTGCAATTGTACTATCAAGGTCAGGACATATTGTTGAGAAAGATAAAGCAATATTAGTTATTTCAGGTTGACGTATCTTGGATGTAGCTAATTCGGGGTTAAATGAATTTATTTTCTCCAAAATATTCATACTTTCAGGGATTCTCATTTGAATTTGTCGACATAATTCCACTAAAAAATCTTTACATCTAGTTCGCACCATTAGTAGTTCATCTTGTTTAATTGCTAAGGATGACGCTTTTGAATTGAACGAATATCCTAAATTTATCAATTCTATATCCATAATGTAATCTTCAAATTTGAAATCAACGACGTTATTTTTTGAAATTTTTTGAAGTCTCATAGGTGGTACTAAAATACTTAGGTTATTGAAAAGTAATAAATTCAAATCTTCCATTAATTTCAGTGGATCTGCACACTCTGACTGAAACAGTTTATTAACTCTAATTATTTCTTTCAATGTCCAACTCAAAAAGGTGAAATATAATACATTAGTTTGGTCCGATAACATTTGAAACAGCTGTTCAGCCATATAACACATTTCATTATCTTTTACTATACCAAAGTGTATTTTTAATGCATCCCATTGTTCTAGAATTTTAACTACCGCATTGTATCTGGCTAGCCATCTGGTTCCTGATAGTTGGTCAATTTTTAGTGGTTTTTGATCCGTCAGTGTTTCAAATATTTGTTTGTATGCTATTTGCCTTTTTGTACTACAAGAGAACCAATTGTGGCATTCCTTGATTATAAAATCCAAATGACGAGGTAGAAGTTTAAATGCATACTCTGCTGCCAAATGCAGAGAATGACAGACGCACTTAATAATAACAAGTTCATTATTCTTTGCTTTCAAAAAAGAAGCTACTGAATTATGCGCTCCAACCATAACATTGGCTCCATCAACACCGATTCCTATTAGTTTCCCTAATTTTAAACCGTCTAGCTCCAGTTGTTTTGTCACCGCAGCCGAGATAGTTATGGCATCTCCCTTTTCAATTTCGATAAGTTTGTAGAAAGTCGTAACAATCTTAGTTTGCTTTTTACTAAAATATTTTATCATAACGCATAGCATTTTTGTGGAATCGACTGCAGTGCTCTCATCTATAATCAATGAATATTTACTATCTGCAACATCCAAAAGTAAGTCATTTAGTATTGAAGGAGCCAACACACTCAATATTAAAGATGTACATTTAGTTCTGTGTAATTTAACGTCATTTAATATTTCAGATGATTTATCTAAATTTTTTAAAAGTGATCCAAGATGATCAATTGTTGCAAGTGAGCAGTGCTCACATATGAATGCAGCAATTTTTAATTCTGCTATTTTCCTGCTGGCGGTCAAACCTTTTTTCATAAACTCAGTAATTTTTTTACTCGGGCCAGCCAAAGATCTTTTCTCCGCCTCTTGATGTTTCTTACTTTTACCGTGAAGCAGTAAGTCTTTTTTATGTGCAGCTAAAGTACATTTACATATCTTACAAAGCGACTTTGTCTCATCTGCTAATACAGGACCAATCCATCCTATATGGAATGAATAATTATAATTAATAACCCACACCATCAAAATTTCAATAGCCTTTACCTTTAAGTTCAGCATCGGATTCCCAAGCAACTCGGTATTTTCGGGTATATAACGACTCCTTTTCTTTAGACATATTTAGATTGACACGTACAACACTAATTTGGATAAACCATGCGTATTGAACACTCCAAAGTAAAAGAAATATAGCCTATAAAGTTAATGATAGGAAAGGAAATAAAGTTACACGATTCTCTGGGTTTCACATAGATGAGAAACACTTATTTAATCACGCCATCTAACGCACAAAAACAAAATAATATTTTGCCGCTTTTGAAGGAAACTAATGTAGGTGCTTCAGAATAATTTTAATAGTTGTTGAAAGATGGCAGGATTATCTGTAAATGAATTTATATTTATTCAAAGTTGTTCTCGAATTCCAATAATTCAATTGAAACTTGAAAATTGGTCGGACGACAGAATGTCTTCTTAAAATCGCACCCCAAAAAAACCCCAAAACGGAATAATTTTCCCCCAAAAAATCCCCCACGCATTGTATACCCCCAAAAATTCCCCCAAGCAATGAAAAATACCCCAAATTTGGGGGAAAATCCCCCAATCTGGTAACCCTGGCTGCAAGTGCGACAGGACGAAGAACTGGAGTCCCTAGGCTCATTCGATCACCTGATAACATTGAGGCAAATTCATCTGCCCTTGGACTTTCCGATCGTTCTGTGAGAAGAATTCTTCATGATGATCTCCATTTCCATCTTTACAAGATGGCAATTGTGCAGGAATTTTCTGAACGTGACTTCATTTCTCGGATGAATGCGTGAATTATGTTTGCCAGGGACGAACGAAGGTTTTTAAAAAAATAACTCTTATTTCTCGCTGATGAATCTAACTACCACTACAACAGGTGATAGCTATCTGATTGCCAAACAAAAGGTACAACGGTTTTTATAAAGTCGTATAATAGGAATACACTCATAAGCTATTTCTTAAGAAGCATGCAGGACGTATCAGGTTGCATGTATGAGATAATTCTAAGTTTTCTAACAACGGTAATAGAATAATACAAGATAACGCCAAGATGATGCAATATAAGAATTATTTTGTATAGAGTCAGCCAAAGTACATAACTCGTGTGAGCGTCTTCTCGAATTCGTTCATGAGCACGCTATTGTATTTTTTTTTTTGTTTAGTAATGCAGCACATTTCTGCTCCACTAATCTTCGAGGACATTGGATCAAAGATCTTTGTATTCGCCTAAAGTTTCGGTTACATCTAAAAAAGGGACGATTTGAAGTGCCCGCCCGCTCTCCCGATTTGGCCCCTTGTGATTTTTTATGAGGTTTTTTTTAATACCGTATAAATGTGAACTCTCCAAGGATGCTACAAGATTTGAATATTGGTGCTATGATGGCAAGGGTCATGACAAACGCCAGAAATCGGTTCACTCAGTGTCTGGAGAATTCATACAATGTGTTTTTTAAGTTTTGAAAAATGGAAGTTATGCTGCCAGACCTTGTATGGTGTATAAGTTTAATTTCTACTGATTGTGAGTGGCCGACAATATTCCGAAACACTCAGTGACATGTTATACGAGCGTTAAGCGCATCGAGGTTTTAGAGTCGTGCGAACGTCGCGTCGACCTAATAGGTAAAATGGTAATATTTACACAAATCCAAATTGGCAGCCATAAACGCATTTCGTCAATTATCTCTCAAACCAATGATCTTATACAAAAAAAGTGAATGGACCATTTTTTTACAAAAGTAAATTTAACATCATTTTGATTCTATATATACGTAATTTTACGAGAAATTTAACGTCAAACTTACGAGTAATTTCAAAAATTACAGATGATCTAATTTTTATACAGAATAAAATTTGCTACAAAAAAGGGTTCTGTTACATTTTCCCAACATCTTATCGAAATGCAAGGAGCTAAAAGATGATAAAGAGCTACTTTCACGGGAGGGTGCTTATGGTAGCGCCAATGACGATGAAGGTAAGCATGAGAGTGCCACAGGGCTCCGTCCTAGGGCCGTTGTTTTGGAACATGTTCTGCGATGGGGTTCTTCGGTTACAGATGCTGCTAGGAATTTGCTTGATAAGGTATGCTGACGACCTTGCGATGACACTGATTAGCAGGGAGAGAGATACACTTGAAGGACTCATGGCATACAGATCAACGAGAATTTCCATATGGATGGAAGAGAATGGCTTGAGGTTGACTCCTGAGAAGACAGAAGCTAGCTTCATTAGCTGTATGAGTTGATAATTCCGAGCCAAACTGCAATTAAGTATCTGGGTGTGTGGCTTGACAAAGATCTAAACATGATTGAACATATAAGGCGCCCACTCAATAAGGTCGATGCATCTACGATATGGCTAATGCCATTTGACAAGCGCCCCAGTGGTGGCAAACTCGATTATGATGTACGGAGCCCCATATAAAAAACATAGACAGCTAATATTGAGAAGCCAGCGAAAAGTATTGCTGCGCATGATATGCGCTTACAGAACGGTGTCGACCGATGCACTGCAGGTGGTGGCTGGTATCCCGCCAATTGATTTGAGAGATGTGAGCTCTTAAAAAGGGCGTCGAAGCTACGAGAGTCGAAAGAGAGGTGCTTTTTGTCAGATGGCAAGAGAGATGGGATACAACTGGCCATGGTGGATGGACCAGAATGCTGATTCCAGATATTAAAACTTGGATTGACAAGGTAGCGGTGCGGACAGTTCCTCACAGGACATGGTTATTTCGACAGCTACCTGAAGAGGGTAGGAAAGAGAGAGCACGAGAACTGCGTATATTGCCATCGAGAGGATACTCCTAACCACCTACTCCAATGTGGTAGGTGGGTTGACTACCAGACTCAGTTCGAACTGACGCTCGGTGAGAGGCTCACTGCTGACAATTTTGCCACGCATATACTCGAGGAAAAATGGGTTGATATTCAACCAATGGTGAGGCAAATGATGCTGAATAAGGTACAGGAGAACAAAAATAGATCAAGCAACCAATGGTAGGTTTCTATTTTGCTCGGTTGTACATGTACAAATATATAAAAGTATGTATGTATATGTACGATAGAGAATAGATGCCCAATACCTTCGGTATGAGAACCTAGCGCAACGCTACCCACTATGAAGAAAAGCTGCGGGCATTACCGTGGTGGGATGTATGTTATATTTGATGATTTCTGATAATGAAAATGTAAGTCACTCACTTTCATATGTCTGTCTATTGGTCATTTTGCCACTGAATACAATTAGCAACCGGTGCATTGGTTTTAACAGAAGGGGGGGGGGTAACATTGTATTTTTTATACTCCAGCTACCACGAAGGCCTAAGGTCTAAACACTCATCGGGTATCACGGGGCTATAGGGGTATACAGGGGAAAAGGGGGGCGCCACACGGACTCTAGCGAGGGAACACGTGTGCATGCAGCATGTACATTGTACACATTCTGGCTCCGCCTACGAGATCCGCCGAGTGATACCTCCGCGTACAACAGTCAGAGACCGTCTACCACCTACGGACAATCACAACATCCATAGCTAAGAGAAAAATTTCTCTTGGGACGGGATTCGAACCCTCGCAGGGCACGGCGACTGATCAGGAGACGAAGACCACCTGCTGCCTGAATTATAGCAACTGCCCTAACTACCGGTACACAGCGGCGATAAAATGTCGCTCGTGTGTATCCGCAGTAATAGCGCATTGTCAATGCCGATCGCTTTTAGATTGTATGGCATGTCACAAGTGACGGACTTTGACTTCCTGTTTGAGTCACACGGGTTTCATTATTCTAACGCAGTTTTAACCCCACAGCACCACCACTCATTCAAGGCGATAACACTGTCAGATTGAAAGCAGTGTGTCCATACAGACAATTAATGGAGTTACAATTGAAATTCTTAAAAATGCAAAACAGAATCAAACAAAACATGACCATATACGCCTACGCGAAACCTACGAACGTCAAGATCGTCGTTTTCACGGATTATGATGAGCATGAAGTGGCTTACTTGGATCAAGAGAGCTACAGTATGGTCCGCAAATACAATGCTGAATCTCTCAAGACACTCAAAATGCATGTCAAATTGTGATTTTATGTAATTATACAATTGTTTTATTAGAAAATAAATTGTATTCATGTTGAATAAATGTCTAGAGACGAATTATTGTAATAGCCAAAAAAATAGAAAAGCATATATGTTTTCTGGATCTCACATGACATGAACATCACAATAACGTAAGCGGTGCATCTTTGATAACAATACTAAGTATTAAGAAACTTCTGATCTCGGTAATATTGCGCTTATTTTCGATATAAAGGCGCCTGCCCACTGAGAGGAAGAAAAGCTATTTGTGTCGCGTGAAAATCTTAATCAACAATGAAGTCAGAAAGAGACAGCCAAATAGCAAATAACAACTTGATAGAAAGAAAAAATGGACGGATTCGAATCCGCATCTCTCCCAATACGTGCTTCCGACGTAACAGATTAGTCTACATCACCAGCGGCGAAGCAACTTTTAGGATCGACCTCACTGTACCTTTGTTCTGTCACGGTGCTTGATGCCCCATCTGGCGACGTTCAAGTGAAACAAACCAGACGGGTAAGGTAATCCCAATCGCTTTCTAGCTGCACCACACTGCCTTGTGGGCACACGGTATCATTGTGCAAGGACACTAACCTGAGTACTTATCGGAACAGCGCAGCCCCAACTGGGAGTATGTTTTTTTATTTTCTCGAAAGCTGTTTACTAAACATACTCGCTGTTGTAGATGCCCTCATCTGAAAAATCCTACACAGGTTACTGTCCTGGCACGGCGCTATCATGTGGTAAGTGCTCACCAGGCGGTGTAGTGCTTAACTTGGTAATTGGAGATATCGAAGCAATCCAGTTTGTTTCACTTGCAAGACTCCAGAAGGGACATCAAGCAGCTTGAAAGAACAAAGGAACAGTGGCGTGGGTAGGATCGGAATTCGCTCTAACAGTCGACCCTGAAAGTTGATTGGCAGCGGGTGCCGTAGAGCCGTAGACTAACTGGTTAAGTCGGCTCCACGGAATGGGGAAGATGCGGTTTCGAATCCTTCCGGCGCCCATTTTCCCTTTCTTTCAAGTTCCTGATTACTAAACATACTTGCTGTTGAGGATGCGCTCATCCGAAAAACCATATACAGACAGTGGCCGTATGTCAAGCATTTTTTAGTGGCATTGTAACGTGCCTATATAGTTTTGTGATGATACAAAATATCTACAATAAAAAAAATCGCTAATTGTTCTAACATACATATGTATAAAAGAAGATCTAACTGAAAACCGGTTCAAACACATGGAAGCAGCG